GGACTGCGGAAAACAGACCCGACCCCGCCCCCCCCCCCTCGTCTGTTTTTTTTTTTTTTTCCTGGACCAGGAAACGATAGAAGACGCGGAGGACCGTGAGCTTACGGGCAATACTGACCCTGGCGTCACCGGAGTGTTCACCCTTGGGCCGGGTTGAGTCTCCCGGGCGAGATTCCCGGCCCTCCGTGGCCAACCACGCCAGGTATCCCCGCAGCATGTTCCGGTCCATGTCCATGAAGTCCGGACCATCAGCTTCCAGATACCGGCGGAAGGCTTCCAGGTCGGCCTGGTAAACCCGCAGGGTGTTTTCCGAGAGGCCGCGCTGTCCCCGAATATACCCCGGGAACCGGGCGGCCATCGCGTCGAACCGGTCGGCTGGGGCGCATCCGACCGGATGCATGCAAAAACCGGGGCCTGAAGCCTGCTGAGATCAGGGGTTTTTTGGTAAATTTCCAGGTAATGGGGGTTAATAGAAAAAAGAAGGAAGTTATAAGAGGAGTTAATAGGATTTGGGTGGGTTTGTTTTTTTCTGTTGGGTATGTTTTTTTAGTTTGTTTCGTTTCGTGTGTGTTAGCTGTTCTTGTGTTGGTTCCTTTTTGTTTATGTCTTTGTTTTTGTTTTATTTTGTGGTGTTTTGTTGTATTGGTTTTGTTTGTTTTGGTTTCGTATTTTGGTTTTCTGTTTTGCTTGTGTTTGTGTCCGTTGTGGTTTGTTCTTGTTGTTTTTTTTTTTGTTTGGTTTTTTGGGTTTTTGTGGCTTTGTGTTTTTGTTTGTGTTTTTTTTGTTGTTTTGTATGTGGTGGTTTTGTTTGTTGTTGGTGTTTTTGGGCTTTTTTGTTTTGTTCCACCGCCGCTTCCGTCCAGGCTCGCAAACAGCTACACGAGACCCGGTTCCGGCCCGACTCCACCATCATTCCAGAGCATTCCGGGCAAGGATTAAGCACCGGCTTGCGGTTGGAAATGAAGTCACAGTCGGGATACTTGGAACAGCCGTAGAAAGAACGGCCCCGGCCCCGTGAACGGCGTTCCACGATATCGCCGCCGCACTTGGGGCAGATTGCGCCGGTTTTCATCGGGCGGGTGGCCTTGCAAACAGGGTAACCGGTGCAGGCCATAAACTTCCCGAAACGCCCGGTCTTGATGACCATTGGCTTGCCGCACTGGTCGCAGACCTCATCGGTGGCGACGTCGGCCTCGGAGCTATCTGCGCCATTCTCAGTATTCTTGAGCGGGTGAGTAGTCCGACACTTGGGGTAGCCGGTGCAGGCGACAAAGCGGCCAAAGCGGCCGGCCTTGATGACCATTGGGCTACCGCAGTTCTCGCAAACCTCGTCGGTGGCCTCGTCCTCCGGCTTCAAACTGGGCATATTCTCGTTAGCCGGAAGCAAATCTTTGGCGAACGGGTCGTAGAACTCCCGCAGCATAGGCACCCAATCCCGTTCACCCTGGGATACCTCGTCCAGTGCTCTCCTCCATCTGGCGTGAAGTTTGAATCGGGGTGACTGCGGCGTTGTGTGAAGTCCAGATTCATCACTTGGCGGAAGAGAACTGGGTCAGTCAGTTAGTCGGAAACGGTAATGCCCAATGCTCGGTGGGGTGCAGGGCGTTTTGCTCCTTGGAAACATAGTTGCGGGCCAGCAGAACGCCGATGTGGGAGCGCTGAGGCGCTGGGCGCGCCAACTTCCTCTTTCTTCCATAGACTTAATCAGGGTCGCCTCGGATCTGAATGGAAACGGGGCGCGGAGGCTGGTGGTAAAGTAAAATGCTTGCGACGCCGCCTCAACTGCTGGCAGTTGAGCCGGTTGCCGGCCGCCAACTCCGGCAGGGAGTTGCGTCTCTCTTCGGCGTCTCCTTCGTCCCGGCTTTCCAGGTACAGGGTGCGGAAGCCGGGAAACTTGAGCACCGAGCCGAGTGTGCGCGTGTGCTTTTTGATATACAACCCCGTATATGGGCGCCCTATGTGTTACAGCTGGTCAGGAGTCGTCACGCAGGCGGCTTGCAGGCAGCGTCAATGTTCACCGTGGTAGCGTCGGAGCGGGCGTCGGCCATCTGGCTGGCCAGCATCCGCGCCCAGATTAGCTGGTAAAGCCGGTGCTGCTCGGCGGTCAATTGTAGGACTCAGCGACTACTGGGGTGTACGGTGTTATCGAAGCAGAGCCGGATGGCTTCGTGGGCTTCCTTGGCTGCCTTAGCCCTGGTGCGATGAACGCGGGGCTTGTCTGGCAGGTATTCCTTCCCGTACTTGCCCCCGATGTATTCTCGAGCTTCGTGCAGCGCCGTCTCGGCTACCTGGACCGAGTCGGTACGCATGTAGGTAATCAGGCCCACCGAGCCTTCCTTCCCCACCGACAACCCTTCATATAGCTGCTGGGCACCGCCATTGTTCGCTGGGCGGTGAAACGGAACTTGCGGCCCGCTTCCTGCTGCATGGTGCTGGTTGTGAAGGGAGCAGCGGGACGCTGCCGCACCTCTCGTTTCCGCACGTCGGCCACCGAATAGGCGGCGTCTTTCAACTCCGCCTCATACCTGCGGGCATCTTCCTCGACGGGAATATTGAGCCGGTTGCGGCTGCCCTTGATCGAGTGAAGGGTGGCGGAAAACAGGTCCAGTTTGTCAGCCGGGTCGGTTTCCTTGTGCAATTGGGCGTCCAGCGTCCAGGATTCCACCGGCACAAAGGCCAGGATTTCCCGTTCCCGGTCTGTGACCAGACGCAGTGCAACCGACTGGACCCGGCCTGCGGAGAGACCCCGCTGCACCCGTTTGCCCAGGAGCGGGCTAATCTGATAGCCAACCAGCCGGTCCAGGACTCGGCGGGCCTGCTGGGCGTTGACCAGCTTCATGTCAATTTCACGAGGGTTCTTGAAAGCCTCTTCCACGGCATCCTTGGTAATCTCGTGGAAGACCACCCGCTTGAGCGGTTTGGAGGCCTGGTTGTCCCAGCCGGCGGCGGTCTGCAAGTGCCAGGATATAGCCTCGCCCTCCCGGTCCGGGTCGGTAGCCAGGTAAATCTCGGCGGCCTCATCACCGGCCCTTTTTATCTCCTTGACCAGGGCCATCTTGTCCCGCATGGTCACGTAGGAGGGCTCAAAGTCGTGTTCCAGGTCAACGCCCATCTTGCCCTTGGGCAAGTCCCGGACATGGCCCTGGGAAGCGGTAACCACGTACTTCCTGCCCAAAATCTGGCCGACGGTGCGGGCTTTTGGCGGTGACTCTACGATCACCAGGCTTTTGCCGGCGGCGTTCAGCGTCGCTGTCTTCCGGGTCGCCGTCTTCCGGGTCGCCGTCTTCCGGCTGGCAGCGGGTTTACCATTGGCCTTCCCGGAAGTTTTGCCTTTCGCCGTTGATTTCACCGCCGCCGCTGCTTTCGGCGCCTTCGATTTAACGGGCATAGACTCCCGCTACCTCCCGAGTTCGAATGTAATGCAACATCCAACCTGTTTAACCATGCCCTTGAGTTCCAGCATGGTCAAGACGCAGCTTACCGACGTTATCGGCAGGCCGGCCTTGCGCCCTAAATCATCAATGTGCAGGGGCTCTCCCCCTATATGTTGCAATATCGCCGCTTCTTCCGGGTCCGGCGGTTCCACGCTTGCGGCCGGGGGGTAAACCGACTCCGGCCTCTCCGAATCGCTCGAACGCGGTTTTGCGGAGTTCAGTGTTGCCGGGTCCGGTTTTGCCGCGTCCGGTTTTGTCGGGTCGAAGGATAATTCTCCCTGGCGGGCAGCAACCGGCTGGCCAAGTGCGCCCAGATTCAGCTCTTCCAAAACGTCCCGGTGATTTGACACCAGCTTGGCGCCTTCCTGGATCATCCGGTTGGTAAAGCTGCTGGCCGGAGAGAAAATACTGCCGGGGACACAGAAAACCTCTCGGTCTTGCTCCAGGGCATGATACACGGTCCAACGGGCCCCGCTGCCTTCAGCGGCCTCTACAACCAGGGATCCAAGGCTCATTCCGCTGATCAACCGGTTGCGCCGTGGGAAACCTTTGGCGTCGGGCCGCACGCCCAACGGATACTCGGAGACAACGGCGCCGTGGGCTTGGATCTGCCGGGCAAGCTCGGTGTGCTCCCCCGGATAAACCATGTCCAACCCGTTGGCCACCACTGCGATGGTCCTGCCGCCGGCATCCAAGGTCGCACGATGCGCAATTCCGTCGATGCCTCGGCCAATCCACTAATGATACATATGCCGCTGTTGGCCAGCCATGGCCAGGGTCGAAGCCACCTCCCGCCCGTAGGTCGTGGGACTCCGGGTGCCCACAATCGCCAACGAGCGTTCATCCTCCGGCAGGATATCACCCTTCACGTAAAGAAGCGGGGGAGGGTCGTGGATCTCCTTGAGGCGGCGCGTGGGTAGACGGTGTGGTTCCAGTCGAGCACCCTAACCTCTGCCTTCTCCAGTCGCTCCATCTCGGCATCGGGGTCTACCCGGGCTCTGGCCGCGAGTATTTCCTGAGCCGGTCGTTCATCCAACCCTGCGGCGCGTAGTTGCGCCAAGCCGGCATTCCACGCGTGCTCCAATAGGCCAAAGTGCGCTTCCAACCTTTTGAATCGGACCGGCCCCAACTGGGGCACCCGGTTCAGCGCAACCCAATATTTGATGTCATTCATATCCGGCATAGCGGGGATTCTAGCATAGGCCCTTTGAATCAAACAACGCCGCAATGACGTGGTTAAGTCCGGTATAAGATGATATGCCGTGCCATCACTCATACGATGTTGGCCCCCTTTCACCTGGTTTGCGGACCTTTTAGGCTGCGTGTTCATTGACAACGTTATTTCGACGGTGATATATTCCCTGAAGTTTCCGGTAACACATTGTGGGTTGGCACACCCCCCGGAAGTTGCCGCGACCGGCAGACATCCTCATAGCGCGGGAAACCTGAGCACCAACGGCACAACAACCATCTCTGACAGCCTATATGAACTCTGCCTCTAAATCTGGCTCTATACACGCGCTCAGTGTTGACACTTTTCTCACAGTGCCATCCGGCTATTAAACCTTAACCCCTTCCCCCGATTTTACCCACATCGTTACCCGCGTTTTAGCAATTAGTCCCGAGAGGTATTTTCATCATGGAAATGCGTGACTTCGTCGTGCGTTTCGCTGGAGAAGGTGGCCAGGGAGTGGTCACTTCCGCGGAAGGCTTGGCGCAGGCTTCCACCCAGGTGGGGTATCATGCCCTGACTTTCGCCACCTTCCCTTCCCAGATTATGGGCGGGCCACCTGGACCCAGGCAAGAATCTGCGTCGACCCGGTGTTAAGCCCGGGAGACGACGTTGATGTTCTGGTCGTCTTCAACCAGGAAGCCTACGACACACACTACGAAGAAGTCCGGTCCGACGGCGTAATAATTTTCAACTCCAACGAATTTCAGTTGGAGGGCGACGACCGGGCCTTTGGCCTTCCCGTGGACGAATTAGCCCGATCGACGGGAAACAACCGGGCTGCCAACATGGTGATCATAGGGGCCCTGGCCCACCTGGTTCACATGTCCCCCAACTACCTGGAAGAGTTCGTCACCCAGCGTTTCAGCCGAGGGCGAGCCGGGGACGACGAGATCATAGAATCGAACATCAAGGCTCTAACTCTGGGACGGGAGCACATCGCCCAGACCGGGATATCCCTCGGTGACCTGGCGCCTCCCAAGAGGCCCGAGGGCGAGCAGTTGATGCTCAAGGCCCGAGGGCGAGCAGTTGATGCTCAAGGGCAACGAGGCTATTTCCCTGGGCGCCCTGGCCGCGGGGTTGGACGTCTACGTGGCTACCACTATCGCGGCCCGGACATTCTGGTTTTCATGGAACGCAACCTGGTGGGGCCCGGCAAATTCGCCTATCACGTCAGTTCAGAAATCGAGTCGATCACGGCGTTGTTGGGGGCAGGGTTCTCCGGCAAGACGGCCATGACCGCCACCGCCGGGCCAGGATTCTCGCTGATGAGCGAGGGCCTGGGCTGGCTGGGAACCATCGCCGAGATCCGGCAGTCGTGGTAACACGTTCAGACGCGGCGGCTCGCCCAGCCCAACACACGGGATTGCCACACCAAGTAACGGAACAGTCGGACTTGATGGCTTGCATGTATCCGCGCCCACGGCGACGTCCGGATGCCGGTAATAGCGGTGGGCACCGTGGAGGAGTGCTTCTACGGAGCCATTAAGGCCATCAACTGGGCGGAACGCTACCAGGGTCCGGTTGTCCTGATGTCTGAAATGTCCCTGGCGGAAAGGGTGCAAAACATTCCCCGCCCGGACCTTTCCAAGGTCGAAGTCAACCGGCGGTTGACCTACCAAGGTAACAACGGGTATCTCAGGTATGCGGGCAACGAACTATCCCCAATGCCAATCCCGGGAAACCCCGGCGCCTACACCGCCAATTGAAGCGAGCATGACGATTTTGGCGACACAACCCATCTGCCTGCCCGCCACGTGCAGATGACGGAGTGCGCCGAGATTTCCAAAGTCAAATGAAACTACTTTGGAAGAGACGAACTATGTACGAAACCGACCAGGCCGATGAACCCATCGTCTTTATGCCTTGGGGTGGGTCGAAAGGCCCGGCTCTGGAAGCGTACAACGCCTTGAAGGAACAGGGTGTGCCCGTCGGTTGGTGCTCGGCGCCTACCACTCATCTGTCTGAATGCCATGCAGCTGCTGGAACTGCTCAAGAAAAAGGACCTTGTAATAGTGCCCGAGTTGAACTACCAGGGCCAGTTCGCTTCAATTCTGCGCTCCGAGGGGTCAACGCTCGGGCTATAACCCAGTACACGGGGCTCTTCCCTTCAAAGTAAAGGACCTATGGTGGATCAGGTGATCGAGATCACTAACTCTCAGCGTAAGGAGATGGTCAAGCTGTGAGCAAAAAGAATCCGGAATACGATTTCAAGTGGTGCCCAGGCTGTGGTGACTTCGGCGTACGGCGTGCGCTGGAATTCGCCATGATCAACCGGTTGGAAGAAACCGGGCTTCCCATTGTAAAACAACGTTGTCGTCGCCGGCATCTTCTGTTTCTGTTCGGCAACCTGGTGCCTCTGCATCGAGCCAGCTACGGGTTCACGCGTATCCAATCGGCAGGTCGTTGCCCAATGCTTTCGGAACCAAGATGGCCCGGCCGGAGCTTAACGTGGTGGTAGTGGCCGGTGATGGGGACTTCCTTAGCATCGGCGGCGAGCACATCGCCCCTCAGGCCGCCAGGAACCTTAATATCTGCGCCGTCGTTATGGACAACGGCGTTTACGGACTGACCAAAGGACAAAGCTCACCCACCACCCAACTGGGAGTTATCACCAGCTCCACCCCATACGGCAAGCAAATGATAAGATTGATCCGCTCTCAACAAACCCTCTGCTTGAGTTGTACCTGACCTTGGGAGTCTCCTTCATTGCGTCAGGGTTCTCCAGCCAACCCAGACCCCTGGCCAAATTGATCAACCAGGGCATGGAGCATCCGGGTTTCGCCATTGTGCACGTCCAGTCGCCGTGCACCACTTACAACGACACCTTTGAGGCGCTCAAGGGCAATCCCAAGAAAGGTCTGGAGCCTCAGCTATGGGATGTGCCGGAGGAGCATGACCCCTCCGACCGGGCGGAAGCTCACGACCTGCTACAACAGGGCGGCGTACCGGTGGGTGTCATCTACCAGGACACCACCCGCACCACGTTGGACGACAAACTGTCCCAGGACTTGGAAAAGGCCAGGCAGCGTCCCCTGGAAGAAATCATGGATATGTTCAAGTTCTGACCAAGCCCAAACCCCAGAGTGCAAAGGAACGCCCCGCTTTCGACAGCGGGGCGTTCCTTTTGGGGCAGGTTTTTGGCTCGGCGACCCAGGGCAGACTACCCACTTGGTCCGGAGGACTGCGCGGCAGCTTCCTCTTCCAGGGACTGGTACTTGGACGGGCATTTCACAAGTATGTCTTCAGCTTCGAACACTCTATCTGTCCGGTAGGCACCTCGTTGCTGCCCGAGTCACTGTACTTATGTCTGATCGCGGCCCGTTGGTATGTGACTCCGCCGCAGGGATCACAGCTGCAAGATGCCATAGGATTCCCCTGTGAGGAGCCTCGAGCTGCTGCCCTGAACAAGCCGGGATCTTTGTCCACCAGCGACGAGTGCTCAACGTGGCTGTTCCCTTCCGGGCATAAATAGAGCCGTCCCAGCTTTTTCCGCCAGAACCCGGTGGATCATGTGCGCCATCGGTACGCTGTCTCCCGGTCCATGAACTCGGACACGGTCAGAAAGTACATCGCGTTGCCCGGGAAGGCAGCATAGATCATGTACCCCAGGGCCAGGGCCACGACGGCGCCCACGATCACAAAACGGATTCGGTTAGTCCTGGGAGAGGCTCCATCCTCCGGGGCGTCGGCCTCCAGGCTGGAAAAGTCTTGAGCCAAGATGCAACTCCGATTGACGTGGGTTAGATGCTATCCGTGTTCTTATTATACGCTTGCTGTTGAAATCCCGGATGGGGCTCCGGCTGGGAAATCCACATTCAGGACTCGCGGTGGTCCAGATATTCCCTGAGCTCCCGGATTTCCTTTTTCAACTCCCCCTGGCGGCCGGAAGATCCAAAACGCATACAAGAAGAAAATCGCCCAACTCACGGCCAACGCGGCATACAAAAAGGGCAGGTTTGAAGGGTGTCTGATTTGAAGCAACAAAAACAACATCGCTCTTTACTGGGGCAGGACAGGCCTAGCCCTCTGCCCTCCGAATAGCAAATCTCACGTCCAACAGGTCTTCCTCGGCCTCACCCAGCGCCATCCGTTCCCCGACAGATAGATGAACAGGACCAGAAAAGTGAGGAAGGAGAAGAGCAACACCAACAGCATAGTGGGATTCAGCGCATCTGCTCCTGCCAGGGGGCCCACCACCGGAGACGGATGGATGGACCGCCACCAAATCACCGAATAGTACACGATGGGGACATCTACGAATCCGACGATACCGACCACCGCGGCGTAGAGCGCCCCCTTTTGGCGGTTGGGTGCGTAGGACCTGATCATCAGGTACGCAACGTAGATCAACCAGAGAATCAACGTTGTGGTCAGGCGGGGTTCCCACGTCCACCACGTGTTCCACACCGGCCGCGCCCAGATGACGCCGGTCAGCAACGCCAGCGTGACGAACACTACTCCAACCTCGGCCGAAGAGCGGGCCATCCGGTCCCAGACGGGTGTACGTCTGACCAGAAAAACGACGCTGGCAAGAAACACCAGGAAAAAAAGCCAGGAAGGAGATCACGGCTATGGGCACGTGGAAATAGAAGATGCGCTGCACGTGGCCAAGAACCGAATCTGTGGGAGCAACCATGGATATCAGGTAAAGGTCCACCAACATCAGGACCATTGCCAAACCCAGCAACCCGTACCTGACACTCATTTATTGTATGAACCTCTTGCTCCGATCTGAGGCGCGCAGCTAGCCCCGTCGGGAATCCCCCACAGCGCGGGCGGCGCCGGTCTCAATTCGATCACTCTTCCACCACGACCGAAAAAACCCATGGACATATTACCAGAAACAGGGCGTCGAAAACCGCCATCAAAGGCAGCCACCGGTCAAGCCCCGAAGTCGTGGCGCCACCAAGAGCAGACGTAGTCACCTGAACCGCCCCGATGATAACCGGCAGAATCACCGGGAAAAACAACACCGGAAGCATAAGTTCCCGCGACCTGGTTTGCACTGCGATGGCCGAGAACAGGGTGCCCACCAGGGCGAACCCCAGAGTGGCCAACAAAATGGCAGCTCCCAACGCGACCGAAAGCACCGAGAATCCCAGGAATACGGCAAAAACGGGCAGCAATACCACTTCCACCAAAAGCATGAACAGAAAACTGGTCATCGCTTTGCCCAGGAAAATCGCATCCCGGCTGACCGGCGTCAACAGCAGGCCTTCCAGACCGCCGTGCTCCTGTTCTCTCACAAAGGCCCGGTTCATGGCCAGGGTTCCCGCAAATGCGTAGGCGACCCATATAATCCCCGGGGCCAACGCTGCTGACCTATCGGAGTTGGAATTGAGGGCAAAATTGAATATCACCACCACCAGAAGCCCGAAAACAACCACCGACAGCACCAGGTCTCTGGACCGAAGTTCCAGCAGAATGTCTTTCCAGAGAAGCACGAGGATTGGTTGCAGGAATTTGGTCACAGTGGGGTTCCGGAGCCTTCCCGTTGACCGGAGGTTCCGGGACAGGAACTGTGTTGTCCCGAATCCCGTCGCCGCTGCCCAAAGCATCATCGTCGAGAAAGTGTACCTTCCCATGCTGCATGTGCCCGGTCCTGGACGATGTCACCATTGTTGTCATTTCGGCGGCCAACTCGGCGTTGTGGGTGGTCATCAAGACCGTGCGGCCGGAACCGGTCCAGTCGGCAACCAAAGCCTTGAGCATGGCGCGAGACTCTGCGTCAAGGCCGGACTCCGGCTCGTCCATTAACAGGATCTGGGGGCGGTGCAGCAATGCCCGGGCGATGGAGACCCTCTTTTGCATGCCGTGGGAAAGGGTGCGCACCCGGTGCCCTGCCCGGTGACCCAGCCCAACCAGCGCCAGCACCTCGCCAGACCTCTGCCCAGGGTCCGGCAGCCCGAACAACCGGGAGTAAAACACCAGGTTTTCCTGGCAGGTCAAGTCGTCGTGGAGCAAGGAGCGGTGACCAACGAAACCGACCCGGCGCCTCACCTGGTCAGCCTGCTTCCGGCAATCAAACCCGGCGACGCTAACCTGTCCGGAGTCGGGGAGTGACCTGGGTGGACAGGACCCGGAGCAGGGTCGTCTTGCCGGAGCCGTTGGGACCCAACAACACGATTAGTTGGCCCCAATTCAACGCCAGATCCAAGACCCCCAGAGCACCGGCCAGTCGCCGAAGCTTTTTCAAACTCCTGGGCATTGATGGCAAGACCGGTCGGTTGGTTTGACAAGGCTTACTCCCGGCCGTCGCAGCATCAGCGGATCGCAACGAGGTTCAGGCAACAGCATGGGACTCCGGCGGGATCAACTGCTCTTTATGCTCACGCCGCCGTCCACCGCCCAGGTTTGGCCGGTAATGTAGGAAGCGGCCGGCGACGCCAAAAACACCGCCAGGTAACCCGGCTCTTTCAATAGACCCATTCTGCGAAGTGGGAACTGCTCTTGCGCCGCATCCTGGCGAGACTGGTACGCCTCAGCCGACATGTGCTCCGGTCGGAAAGTAACCGGGAGCGATGGCATTTACCCGCACACCATAGGGCGCCCATTCCTGAGCGATACACTCGGTGAATCGCATCAGGCCGGTCTTGGCGGAATCATACGCGGAAGACAGGGGCCGGCCCCGGAAGGATGCCCACCCGGAAATATTGATAACGCAGCCTTGCCGCCGTTCCAACAAATGCGGCCCCAAAGCCCGGCATCCCTGAAAGGCCTCGGTAAGGTTTACGTCGACTACGTGGCGCCATTCTTCCTCGGGTCATTCCCGGCGCATCGCTACCGGGAAGTTGGACCAGGGGTTTGCGAATGGAGTCGCCCACGCAGTTCACCAGGATGTCCACTGTTCCAAAGTCGGTCAACACCTGTTGGGCAATCTGGTCCATGTCTGCTGACTTGGTAGCGTCCCCGGCCAGCGAGACCGCGGTGCGGCCCAGGGCGCGCACTTCATCCGCAGTCTTGGCGGCATAGGTGGGCGTAAGGCCGGTGACCGCCACATCCACTCCAGCTTCGGCCAGCGCTAGGGCTATTCCCTTCCCGATTCCCCTTCCGCCGCCAACCACCAGGGCCTTTTGGCCGGTTATGTCAAATTCTGGCAGGCTCATGCTAATCTCCTTGCGGAAAACCATCCGGCTGGAAGTGTAGTTGAGGGCCATAGGCCAGTCAACGGCCCGGCCAAAGGCTTTGACGCCGGTCTCTCAGACGGTTAACATTCGCAGGATTTCAACGCCATTCCCTTGGGTCCGATGCCCCGATGCACACGCCTTGGGCAACCTGCACCGGGGCTTTGAACCAATAACCCGCCAAAAGGAGGCGCCGACATGAAGGCTGTATTCATCAACGAGTTCGGAGGACCGGACGCCCTGGTCCATGGAGACCGCCCCGAGCCCGAGGTGGCTCCCGGGGAAGTGATGCTCCGGGTAAGGGCCAGCGCTCTGAACCACCTGGACCTGAACCTGCGTGCAGGAACCAGTTACCGCGGTCCCCTGCCCCGGATCATGGGGTGTGACGTGGCCGGAGAGGTGGTGACGGTGAGCCCCCAAGCTCAGACCTCGCTGAAACCGGGTGACCGCGTCCTGTTGGACAACCGCGTCAAGTGCGGACACTGCGAAAACTGCCGTTTGGGACTAGACCAGTACTGCCCAACCCAGCTAAGAATCGGCGTGGACCTGGATGGAGGCCACGCCGAGTACATTACGGCGCCTGCCGGCAACGCCTACAAAATCCCCGATTCTTTGAGTTTCAACGAGGCGGCGGCAATCCCCATTGCGGGACATACCGCCTGGCATTGCCTGGTTACGCAGGGCCAGATCCGCCCTTGGGACGACGTTTTGATTCAAGCCGCCGGCAGCGGCGTGGGAAGCATGGGCATCAAGATCGCCAAAATGTTCGGCGTCTCGGGTTATCACCACCGCCGGCAGCGATTGGAAACTGGAGAAAGCCAAGGAAATCGGCGCCGACGAAGTCATCAATTACCGCGAGGTTTCAAGCTTCAGCCAGAAGGTAAAGGAACTGACCGATGGCAAGGGCGCGGACCTGGTCCTGGACTGCGTGGGAGCCGACGTCTGGGAGGAAAACATGCTGTCGCTGAAACCGGGCGGCCGGCTGGTGATTACCGGCGTAACCTCCGGTGCGCGCACCAACATGGACCTGTCGGTCCTCCACGGGCGGCCTCTGCACTTGATGGGCAGCGGCGGCCGCAGCCAGCGCACCTTCGTCGACATGATGAAGGTCGTTCAGCACGGTTTCTCTGCGCGGCGTCGTGGGACAGGTCTTTCCCCTCGAGGAAGTCGGTAAGGCCCACCAGACCATGGCCGACCGGGACTTCTTCGGTAAACTGGTGATCGAAAGCTAAACGCAATAAACACTGGAGGAGAACACATGAGAATAGCCCGGTATGAAGCACACGGCGATGTCCACTACGGAGTTGTCGAAGGAGACAACGTAACGGCGCTAAGCGCCAGTCCCTTCGAGCCGCACGAGTTGACCGACCACGTTCACAAGCTTTCCGACGTCAAGCTGTTGGCGCCGGTAATGCCGGGTAAAATCCTGGCCATGGGCTTGAACTACACCAGTCACATCGGCGACCGGCCCAGCTCCCCCGTACCCGATGGTGTTTCACAAAACTCCGACCAGCGTCATCGGCCCCGAAGACACAATCATCCGCCCGAAAGAGGTGCAACGGCTTGACGCCGAGGGTGAGATGGTGGTGGTAATCAAAGACACCTGCAAGAACGTTTCCAAAGAAGACGCCCTCAACCACGTGCTGGGCTACACCTGCGGCAACGACGTCAGCGCCCGAGACTGGCAACAGAGAGACCGCCAGGAGAACAACTCGGACTGGTGCGAGCCAAGTCCGCAGACACCTTCTCGCCCATGGGTCCCTGGATTGAAACCGATGCAGCGCCGGACAAACAGCATCTGAGGACGCGGGTGAACGGCAACGAACAGCAGAACGAGACCACCGACCACCTGCTGTTTGACGTGCCGACGATGATCGAGTTTATTACGCGATACGTAACCCTGCACGCGGGAGACTGTATCTACACCGGCACACCGGGAACCACCCAGGACATGGGGGAGTCGCAATCTGCGAGATTGACATCAGCGGCATTGGCGTCCTGCGCAACACGGTGAAGCTGGAGAGCTAGCCGGACCCGGTCCTAACAAAGGCAGGGACTTGGCGGACCAGACGAAATGCGGGTGGGGTGGGGGGGTGGGGGTGTGTGTGTTGGGGGGGTTTTTTTTGTTGTTTTTTTTTTTTTTTTGTTTTGTTTTTGTTTTTTTTTTGTTGTGTGGTTGTTCTTTTTTTTTTGTTTGTTTTTTTTTTTTGTTTGGTTTCTTTTTTTCTGTTATTTTGTTTTTGGTGTTTTGTTGTTTTTTTTTTAGTTGTTTTTATCCCCCCGCCCCCCACGCGCCCCCCCCCCCCCCCCCCCCCCCCCCCCCCGCCCCCCCCCCCGCCCACCCCCTCCCCCCCCCCCCCCCCCGCCCACCCCCCCCCCCCCACCCCCCCCCCCACCCCCCCGCCCCCCCACCCCCCCCCCCCCCCCCCCCACCCGCCCCCCGCCCCCCCCCCCCCCCCTCCCCCCCGCCACCCCCCCCCCCCCCCCCCCCCCCCCCCCCCCCCCCCCCCCCCACCCCCCCACCGCTCCCGCCCCCCCCCCCCCCGCCCCCCCCACCCACGACCCCCCAGCCAGCCCCCGCCCCCCGCCCCCCCGCCCCCACCCCCGCCCCCCCCCCCCCCCCCCCCCACCCCCTCCCCCGCCCCCCGCCCCCCCCTCCCCCCACAAACCCCGCACCCCCCCCCCCAACCCCCCCACGCCAGTCCCCCCCCCACGCCCCCCGCCCCCCCCCGCCCCCCCCCACCCCGCCTCCCCCCCGCAGCCCCCCCCCCCCCCCCTCGCCCCCCCCCCCCACGCCCCCCCCCCCCCCCGCCCCCCATCCCCCACCCCCCCCCCCCCTCCCCCCCCCCCCCCACCACCCCCTGCCCCACCCCCACTCCCCCCCCCCCCCCCCGCCCCCCCACGCCCCCCCGCCCACCCCCTCCGCCCCTCAGCACCCCGTCCCCCACCCCCCTCCCCCCCCCCCCCCCCCCCCCCCCCCCCCCCCCGCCCCCCCCCCGCCCTCCCCCCCCCCCACCCCACCCCCACCCCCCTTCCCCGCCGCCCCCGGCCCCCCCCCACCCCCCCCCCGTCCGACCCCCCCGCACCACTGCCCCCCCCCCCCCTCCCCCCCCCCCCCCCCCCCCCCCCCCCCCCCCCCCCCCCCCGCCCCCCGCCCCCCCCCCCACCCGTCCCCGCGCCCCACCCCCGCCCCCCCGCCGCCCCCCCCCCTCCCCCCCCCCCCCCCCCCCCGCCCCCCCCCCCCCCCCCCCCGCCCAGCCCACCGGCCCCGCCCCCCACCCCCCCACGCTGCCCCTATGTTTGTAAGTATTTTTTTTTTTGTTTGTTGTTTTGTGTATATCGTTTTTTTTTTTATGATTTTTGTTTCCACCCCCCACCCCCCCCCGCCCCCTTTTTTTTTTGTGTTTGGTTTTAAAAAACGCAATAGGGAACTGCCCCCCCCCCCGATTCGCGGTGGCAGCCTTTCCCCGCAAGGTGTTTTAACCCCCCCCCCCCCCCCCCCCCCCCCCGCCATCCCTACCGCTGCCACCCCCCCAGCACCCCACCCCCGCACCTCCACACCCACCGCCCCCGGCCCCCCCCCCCCAGCCCCCCCCCCCCGCCCCCCGCCCGCCCCCTCCACCCCCCCCCCCCCCCTCCCGCCCCCCCCCCCCCCACCCACCCCCCCGCCCCCCCCCCCCCCCCCCCCCCCCCCCCCCCCCCCCCCCCTCCCCCCCCCAAGAACGCCCCCCCCGCCCCCCCCGCCCCCCCCACCCCCCCCCCCCCCCGCCCCGGCCTCCCCCCCCTTGTCCCCCCCCCCCCCCCGACCCCCCCCCACCCCCCCCCCCCACCCCCCCGCCCCCCCCCCCCCCCCCCCCCCCCCCCCCCCGCCACCGCCCCCCCCCCCCGCCCGCCCCCCCCACCCCCACCCCTCACCCCATCCCCCCCCCGACCCCACCCCCCCGCCCCCCCACCCCCCCCCCCCCACCCTCCCCCCCCACCCCCCCACCGCCCCCGACCCCCTCCCCCCCCCACCACCCCCCCCCCCGCCCGCCGCCACCCCTCCACCCCCCCTCCCCCCCCCCCCCCCCCCGGCCGCCCCCGCTCCCCCCCCACCCCCCCTCCCCCCCCCCACCCCACCCCCCCCCCCCCCCCCCCCCCCCCCCCCCCCCCCCCCCTCCCCCCCCCCCCCCCCACCCCACCCCCCCCCCCCCACCCCCCCCCCCCCAATGGAGAATTGTCGTCGACGCATCTCTCCGGCACTTGCCGGTCTTGTTCTGAGCATCCCAGGTCAAGATCTCGAATTGAACCTACTCTGAACGTCAGGGTAGACGGTACTGCGATCAGGGCAATCCCATTTACAACCCCAATACCCGGGTGGCCCCCGCACGTCATTCCCGCCGCAGCGGGAATCCAGAGCCCTTTATCGCAATAGACTTGGTTAGGCTACGCAGGACGCCTCGCTTCTCAGCCAGGCAAACCGGTCCAATGTGGACTACTCCTTCGTTACGCCACATACCTGGATGTAGGAAAGGGCTCTGGATTCCCGCTGCGGCGAGAAAGACGGGGGTGGGGTTGTGCTCTCATCCTGACTTCTCCCATCGGCGGGAAGGAGGACATCTAGGACGCACTAACCGCAGTTGGTAATGCGATTGCCCTTCTACAGGGATAGCATTCCATCACAGGAACAAGCGCGTGGTGCCGAATGTGGAGCTTTCTCATAGGAACCTTCACCGTCAACGTCCAGATAGGCGATTTAGACTGGAATGAATCTATCGGACTGGACACCATAGTAGACACCGGAAGCACATACACATTTATACCAGCGGGCGTCCTAACCCAGCTCGTATCAACCAGAGACGCCTGCTCTTTGAATTTGGCCCGACAAAACCGTGAAAAAAAAACCAAAAAAGTGGGATACTCGATATCTACTCCCGCTTACGGCTGGACGATAATGAAACGATCACCGTGGTTGTTTTTGCCGAAGATGAAAACAGCCCGCTGCTGGGAACAACAACCCTGGAACACCTCAGCCTTGGAGTAGACCATAAACCAGCGTTTGATCCCCGTATCAGCCATTCTAAAATATGCACACTTCATGCCACGAGTTCCCAAGCGGCCAGACAGTTCTACCCACATAAGCGGTCGCTTTAAGACACACGCCGCAGTCGCCAGAGGCTAACTTCGCCAGGTGTCCCGTGCGCGTGCCTCACGGTAACGCTGTCGCAATTGCTCCGGTTCTCAACACCAATGATTCCTACAGTGGCCGCAGTCCCCCTCCTCTCTTTTTTGACGACTGGGACACATTCACTTGTACGCAGGGCAGACACGTCCTCTCGTTGTTCGTCCGTGAAGACTATTATCTTGCGCCCCTGCTGCCATTGGACCAGCACGACGCCCCGCCCACTTGACGGCCCGAGTCAGCGTCGATTTTGAACCTGCCGTAGAAGGTTGAAAAATCCAGTTTGGAGGCAGTTGTTCTCAACTGGGTTTCGTCCAACGTGCCCGCTTCCTCAACGCACCGTTGGGCTACCAGGCCAGCTGCGTAGGCCTGAACCATGGGATAGTCCGGCGCCAGGGAGCTTTGGCGGCCCATGGATGCCAATGCTTCCTCACCGGTTGGGCCAAAGTCAACCTCATAGTCCGCATCCCCGCTCCCACTGGCTCGGGCCCAAAAACCCGTCCACTAGGGCCCAGAGCCCGATTAACTGTCAATCGTTATGCTAACCACCGCCACTGCTCTAAATGCCTGGGGGTAGTCCGCCAACAGTTCGGCAATAGCCATGTCGTTGGCAATTCTCCCTACGACCACGAGGACATCGGGCCGGCGGCTCGCGGCCGCCGCGGTAAGTTCACTAAAATCTCTCGTTGCCGCGTCGAACTCCCAGACGAATTCCACGTTGAATCGCAATTCTGTGGCGGACCGCTCCACCCCCGAGGACACCGCTTTGGGGAAAGCGCCCGGTGTGGCGCGAAGAATGCCGACTGTCCTGGCGCCGGAATCGGCTTCCCGAATCATCGGTAATAGCCCGGCCAGGTATCGACTGGCCGGCGTCAGAACGCCGATAATTCCCCGGTATCCTTTCTGGTAAACGTCGTCAGAGGCGCCGCCCTGGTTCCACATCAGGCGGTGGCGTTCTTCGGCTACCGCAGCGGCGGCGGTGGTTAACCCGCTGGAATAGGGGCCAAAGAGGAAGGTCTACGCGGTCGCTCGTGAGCAGATGGCCCGTCGCCCGCCGCACCTCTTCAACGCGGCTGCCGTCATCCTGGAAATAGACCTGGACCGGGTATCTTGTTGGGAGGCTGCCCATGGGTGGTGGGGGGGGGGGGGGGGGTGGGGGGGGGGGGGGGGGGGGGGGAGGGGGGGGGGGGGGGGTGGGGGGGGGGGGGGGGGGGGGTCTCCGGTTCGCTAGGCGTTTACGTCCGCCGACCGCGTTAACATCCTCCGCCCAGGACTGCAGCCCGGCCAACGCCTGCTTTCCCTGGGTCTGGAACTGGACCGGTCAGGGAGACCGGAATCCCGACTCTTATGTGGCCTGGGAGCGGCAATTGGAAACCTTAGCGCTTTGGGGCTTCACCGTTCGGCGCCCCCGGACTGTCCAGCCCCTGGCCGGAAAATGCGACGGAACTGGGGTAGCCGTGGAGCAGGTGAGAATCAGTAACTAATTAAATCTCCTAAAAATCATCTCCCTTTAAAAATCCCATGATTAATATATTACCGGAGGGTGAGTGCGTCTCATCTCTCGCTTCGGTCACCTACTTGTAGGTCTCATTCTCCTGAGCATCTGTCCTCCGTCCTCATGGGAAGCCTCCCCTCCTCCCCTCTCTCTGCTTCCAGGCAAAACTACACGGACGAATCGATTCTCCCTATCCAAAATCCAAATGAAAAATAATCCATATCTATCAAATCCAATAAATTCTATTAAGGATAAATATATAATTATCATATTATCGAATATTCATAGTCATTAATATAATTCCCCCAATTCCCATATTCCATATCATCATCTTATAATCATTCATATCATCCCATTAATCCATATTCAGTAAATCTCCCTTTATTCCTCGCCCTCTCCATCTCAAATTCATCAATAAAAAATGATATCTATCCCATCATTTTCAGATTATATCCATATCCCCTTACCGGTCCGATTTCTCCGTTGCAGAAAAACCCGCCCAGCGGGACCGACCCCAGCTTGTCCCGGAACAAGTCGGTGTCATGGTTGGGGCGGCCGTACAGGTACTGACCGCGCCCAGCAGGTGAACAGCATGCGGGGCCTGATTGCCACGTTTCTCCACCGCGTAACTGGCCCGGGCCCATCGCCACGTCCTCCGCGGAGGTCTGAGCGTCGCGCAGGTGGAACTGCACGAGTTGACCCTCTTTGAGCATCTCGCCGATTGCCAGCACGCCGGTCCGCTCGTCCATGCCGGCCAGGTTGCGAATCAGGAAATCACCTTGGCTGGGATTATCGATCAACTCGTCCATCACGACGCCGAGGAATAGTGACGACCTCATCAGCCGTCGGTCCCGGTCATCAGACATCTGGAACAGGTCCTTCAAGACATGCACCGGGGGCTGGCCGTCAAGCTCGGCCAACACGTTGCGGGCGCATTTGGTGACGCGCATGGGTTGGCCGACGGGGCGACACCCCTGGGCCACCACCGTGTCCACGATGATGTTGCCGTGCAAAGCCACGCCCACGGCCCCGGACCGGTAAACCTGGTCACCCAGGAACAGGGCATTCTCACCCTGCTGCTGGGCGCCGCTGGCCAAGCGCCGATTTTGGCCGCGCCGCCAAAGGCGTAGTCCAGGCCCATCAACCGGTTGGGCACCGGGAAGGAGAAAGGGTCAGCCAGCATGACAAAATGGGGGTTCTGCTCGGGCGACACTCCCACCAGGTCTTGCCAGGCGTCCGGCGCGGCATCCAAGTCCGGCAGTGTGTCGGATTCCAGATGGAATCCAACGATATCGACTCCCGGCATTTCGGCTGCTGTTATAGACAATGCCGGACGCTGCTCCACCTCCAGGCCATTGCCGATAATACCACCGCCGGAGCACCCAGAACCGTCGTTTGTTTGCCCCAATCGCCGTTGCACCAGGTCGACCAATTGGCCATACTCGGCTTGGTAATGCGGCGCGGCAAAAACCGGAAGATGACAGAGGGAAAGGGATGCCCGCACCGACGGTCGGCTGCACGTTTTCCATTGCGCTGAATCTCAGAGCCGCATTCGTCGATTGCCTGTTCCAGTGACGTGTGTTCAGAGATGTGCCGATGCCCATTTCATATTAATAACCCCGGTTCCAGCGTTCGATTCCAGCGTTCCTGGGCGTTGCAAGTATACCAAGCAAACAGTGACCTTGAGAATACGGGCCAAAGGTCGCCCGCCCGGCGCCAAACGCGCCCGATATACGGCCGGAGGCCTCGTCCGGCAACCCGGGGCCTTTTCATTGTTAGCCGTTATTTTCGCCGAGGTGGAATCCGGGAGCCCCACCCCGTCATTACTATGAAAATGGGCCATTTTCATCCTCATGTGTGGCCTAGACAAGGCCATGGCAATTCTCGTCGCAACGGGAATCCAGAGCCCTTGTTGTGTGTAATGAAGGTTGTGTCCAGGGAGACGTGCGGGGTCCGGTGCCGCCGTCCAACCGTTGTCATAACCGTGTTGGCGCATAGTCAGGGCTCTGGATTCCCGCTGCGGCGAGAATGACGGGGGTAAAATGAAAGGGCCCTGTACGGCAACTCGGTGTAGCTTGACATGGAATTGGGCCGTTACTACAATTCGGGGCGATGCCGAACCTGTTGTCCCTTCCCCTACGCCTTGCCATAAAACGACGCCATTGTTCACAAGAGAGCCAGACATCGTAATCAAACAGGGTTGCATTTGAAACCAGCCGCCGCGCCACCGGTCTTAGCTGCGCGTACACGGCCCTCTTCAGTCCAGGGACATGGCTAGTTTTTTCGACCTCCTGGCGAAACGCCGCATCGGTCGCGCTATCCTGATTTTCCTGGTGCCCGGCATTTCAGTTGAAGCGGTGGATAGCGCTCGAGGTGTTGGGCGCCCTCGCAATTTGCATCGGAATCCTCTTCGCAACCCAGGTCTCTATCTGGACGTGGGTCACCGCCCTGGCCCGGATTGTCAGCCTCGAGGGTGAGCCTTCCTGGGTTCGCAGCGGCGTATTTATTGCCGCAGGCGCGCTGTTCGTCCTTGCAGGCTCCCTGCGCCTGGCCAGGTCGCTAACCACTATCTCCCTAAGAAGACGCAACTCCCGCTTGTTCGACTCCCTGTACATCGAGCGGGTCTTGGCCGCCGGGCCCAGGGTGGTCGTGATTGGCGGCGGCAGTCGGTTGCCGAACCTGCTGCGGGGCCTGAAAAACATGACGTCAAACATCACCGCGGTGGTGACAGTGGCCGATGATGGGGGAAGCTCGGGAAGGCTGCGCTCCGAGTTGGGGATCTTGCCTCCCGGGGATATTCGCAACTGCCTGGTGGCTCTCGCCGATTCCGAAGATGTCATGCAGCGGTTGATGGACTATCGATTCTCCTCCAACGGTCAGTTGGACGGCCACAGCTTTGGCAACATTCTCATCGCCGCTCTGGCCGGGATTGGCGGCGATTTCTCCGACGGCGTGGTTATGGCCGGGGAACTGTTGGCCATCCGCGGGCAGGTGATTCCATCCACCGCCGTGGACGTGACTCTGACCGCCCGCACCGCAACGGGCCAAAACCTGGTTGGCGAATCAACGATCGGGGCGGCGAAAGACCCTCTCCGGTCCCTGGCTTTGGAGCCGCCCGGAGCAGCCGCTCACCCCGGCGCCAAGAAGGCCATCGAAGAGGCTGACTTGATAATTCTGGGTCCGGAAGCCTGTTCACCAGCATTGTTCCCAACCTTCTGGTGACCGAAATTGCCGAGGCAATCACACAGGCCGGGGCGGTCAAGATGCACGTGTGCAACGTCGCCGGCGAGCCGGGACAGACCATGGGGTACTCGGCGCTGGACCACCTCAATGTCCTCCGGCATTTCCTGGGACCTACAACGGTGGGCATTGTGCTGGCAAACAGCAATCTTCTGAATGGTTCCGCCCCGAATCGGTCGAATTGCCGGAGTCGGTCCAACTGCCCGAATCCGTTCAACTGGTAGGAGTGCCTAACCACTGGCCGGATTCATCATCTGCGTGCAGGCCGACATCATAGACACCGCAAATCCCACGAGGCACGACCCCGATAAACTGGCGACCACGGTTGTAGAAACCTACCACCGGCACCGGGGCCGCCGCCGCCGCCTACCCCCCCTCTGGCGAATGTCCCGCGGCTACTAGACCTGCGGCCAGGGCTTTTTAAGCAGGCTCTGACTCTTACTGGGGGTGATGATTTCAATAGCGCGGACGATGGTCAGTGCGATGTTTGTGCGCATTCATCCGGTGCAGAAGCAGATTGCTATCTCCATGAGACAATGGTTCACGAGGCGGGGCATGAACTGGGGTTGTTTGGGTTTTCATGGTCGGGCTCACTGACCCCGGGAGGTTGGTACAGATGTCTCATCCAACAATTAATGACTCGGTTATGAATTATTGGCAATACACGGCCACAGAACCCGACTGCTCGCCCCACCCCTTTGACATCATGGCGATTTACGCGTTGTACCAGACGATACCTTATGAACAGTATCTTAATGATGCTAAAACACCTGGGTGTTGTGTTCTTGCTTTGCGGACTTGCACTGGCGATGACAGGGGGACCATGTTCAGCTCCTGGAAGGGACGTTGAAGATTTCAAACATAGGCCCTTGGATTGGTCACCCGATGGGTCTGAGCTGGTCTTCGAATATGGTGCGATTTACGCGGTTTCCACGGACGGTTCCAGCCTAAAAACTGTGGCTCCAAAGAAAGGGGATTTCGGCTTGAAACTGTCCCCTGATATCTCCCGCGACGGTTCAGATTAGCCTATATCACTTATGACCAACCATCGTTTATGTCTCACCTAGACTCAGTGGTCATTAGTGATAGAGGTATCAAACATTGACGGGTCATCAAGGCGCAAGTTGGAAGGGGTTTCAGGTCGAGATTCTCTGAGTCCAGCCTGGTCGCCCGACGGGTCTCGTATCGCTTTTGTCTCCCGAGTAGAGGCTATGGCGAGGAGTGTTGCTATTACCTTTACAGCATGGCGGCGGACGGGTCCGATATCCGGCAAGAAGTAAGTTTCTCGCCGGCAACCATCCAACCTCCTGGGGAGTGGTCGCCGCCACGCTTCTTGGCCGTAACCACCCATCCGCCGGCGTGGTCACCCGATGGAAAACGTCTCGCTTTCATTGGGAAAGAGTGGCAATCGGAGAATTACCGTGACATACGATACGCCGCATTCACGGTGGCGTCCGGAGGCTCCGCTCTGACGAGAGTTGGAGAAACCTGGACCCGTCCGGTATGGTCCCCCGATGGAGGGCGCCTTGCTCTCCTGAAGACAAATGAAGATCGTGGACTGTTATACACGGTTAACCCTGACGGGTTAGACCGCATAGATGTTGCTCAATTTCGCTACGGTCCTTACCCAAGCTACGTGGGGCAGGCGGTGGAATGGTCACCAGACGGTACTAGGTTGCTATATTCGGGTAATCACACTAGGCATGGCGACCGATCTCTAGTCATCGCCAAGGCGGACGGGTCGGAGTTCGATAGGAGACCGTCGCCGCTGACGTGGCGGGGTTATGCGTCGTGGGCTCCTAGTGGGTCCAGAATAGCTGTTTACAGCCCGAACGACTTTATTTATACGGTGGCACCCGACGGATCGGACCAGTTGGTCTTAGTGGCACCCGGAGAAGGTGGGCCGATACTTGTGGCCAAATAGGCAAAGAATATGGAAAATCCATATGGAAATTAAGGGCGCTTAAGTATCCAACCATTAGTGACTCGGTATGATTCATGGAATCCGACGGCGGTCACAGAACCGATGCTCTCACACACCCCTTCGACATTATGGCACTCCACGCCCTGTACCGGGCGGTCCCCTGATGAAATTCGGACCGCCCAGCGTGAAGAAGGTGATTTTTTGGGTAGGGGTGCTCTGCTTCGGGCTACTTGTGATGACCGCAATGGATTGCGGTTATACCCCCGGTCCAAGCGGTTATTCTACAGGACTTCAACTTGCCCCTCAGTGGTCATTGGACGGCTCCAAGATAGTGTTCAATCTTGGTGGTGCTTCCATATACACAGCGGCATCGGACGGGTCGAGCCTGTGGGTTGTGGCCAAGGGGAAGTATGACGACGAACCCAAATACTTCCCAGGAATTTCCCCGGACGGGTCAAGAGTAGCGTATTCGCAGCTCGTAAACGGTTCCTCCTAAAACGCTCCCGCGAGCTGGGATATCAGATCGCTGCTTGACGGGTCATCCAAGAAAACCCTGGCGAAACATGAGAGCGGCAACTCATTCCCTGTTTGGTCGCCGCGGTCACGTCATTGCCCGTTCTATGTTCTCATCCTGTCGTAACCACGAGCGATGGTAGGCGTCTGGGCCACTCATCTTACATGTGCGGAGCGCTCCGATGTGAAACTATTGGTGACCATGTTGGCTCACCTCCGGCATGGTCTCCAGATGGGAGCCGCCTGGCTTTCGTAGTTGGTTGGATGAAACCAAGGCCGATTCCCCTTCTTACGCCTACGTCGTAGGAATTGACGGATCTGGTCTCACCAGGATAGGACCGTCGGTCACCCGACCTACATGGTCGCCCGATGGCCGCCAAATCGCCTTCATAGGGTCGAAGGAAGGCGCCTGGGCGATGTATACGGCCAGGGTCGACGGTTCTGAATTGACTAAGTGATGGACGTTGATGACCCTCGGCTGGGTATTCCGAACCTGGCCAGTCTCTGGAGTGGTCCCCGGATGGCACTCAATTGCTCCTATCCGGTGGCGGCACCAAGGTTCCCGTCGTCAATGTCGACGGCTCGGACTTGCGAAGGTGGGGACATCAAGGCGTGCTCTTCGCCTCGTGGTCGCCCGACGGCAACAGGGTAGCCTACATGTCGTGGGAGCCTCCTAGTACGGGTCGCCAGCAAAAGCCTGACCAAAACGCTGTCCGGCTCGTGTTGGCAACCGCCAACCCCGATTGGTCAGACACGAGAGCCGTGGTCATTGAACGCGAAGGGGAGCCGCCTAGGGCTGCTCAGCCCAAGTGACAGAGATCGAAGTCGGGAAGAGGGAACGCAGCCCCGGCAAGAGCCCGTCCTATTGAGAGTACCGCCAACCATTCGCCCAATTCAGCGACTCTCCTCTACCGGCCAAGCGTAAGCGGGAGAATGCGCGGTCCAATTCTGTGCTAAAGGAGCGTTACCCTGGCGCTTCATGGTAGAACCCAGAGAAGGGGCTGCCCTTCCGGGACTTTCGATTGTCCCCCGTCATTCCCGCCGCAGCGGGAATCAGAGCCCTGATCATGTACCAAGACGGTTATGTCAACTAAGACGCGCCGGGTGGACGGGTTGACGTCCCAAGTGGAACATTCCTGCAGACACGAACCGGGTGGATGGGGAAAAGGGCTCTGGATTCCCGCTGCGGCGAGAATGACGGTAAGTGGGGATCCAAATGGGATCCGGATTCCCGTTGCGGCAAGAGTGACGGGGGATTCGAAGATAATCGAAAGACCCTGGATGCCCTTCCGGGTCATAGACATTAACCCCCTCTACCGATAACATTTATATGTGGTCAATTGCGATCTATTCCTGATCGACCCATCCACAATTGATCCAACCCTGATTGAAGCCGCGGGATTCTCCGGCAATCAGCGACGGCATTTTGGACATTTCCTTTCGACCACCCAGGCACGGGTAAGCCCTGAGACCACCCCATCGCGCAATTAAACGAGCCCGGACAGCAAACATTTATTTCAGTCATGATTGACCTGGACCAACCGGCCACTTATTCACAATGGGACCCCTCCGGGCTCGGCGCCCGGTTGCGCCGGCTTCCGGAGCAATGCCGCGCCGGATGGCTTCAGGGCGAAGGGGTTGAGCTGCCGCGTGATTGGGACCCGAGCGGCGTAGACAAAATCGTGGTTTGCGGGATGGGCGGATCGGCCATCGCCGGGAACCTGGTTTCTGATCTGATTGGCGCATCCTCGACTGCTTCACGGACCAAAGGTTGTCCAATACTGGTGGTCCGGGGTATGGAGTTTCCCTTCTCCTTAGACCGACGGAGCCTGGTAATTCCCTGCAGTCACTCGGGAAATACCAGTGAAACCATATCCCTGTTTCACCGGGCCACAGAAGCCGGCGCCCGGATTCTGGTAGTGGCAGGTTCCGGAAGCCTGGCAAAAGAAGCCTTGAAGCGGGACCTTCCCTTGCTCAAAATCGGCGCCAAGGGAGAGCCCCGCAGTTCTGTTGGTTATAGTTTGATGTTGTTGGCCGCGGCCCTGTGCCAACACGGTCTGGCGACCCTTGACTCCCTTGTCGTTGCATCGTCCATCGACGCTTTGGAAAACAAAGTGTCCCGGTTGACGGAGGATGTCCCAACCGGCGAAAACGCAGCAAAGCAGCTGGCCCTGGCTCTGGCCGGTAAGGTGATCGCGGTGTATGGGGGCGGTCTCTTTGCGGGGATGGCCCGCCGATGGAAACGCAGTTGAACGAAAACGCCAAGGCGTGGGCCTTTTTCGAGGAAGTCCCTGAATTACTGCACAACGCGGTGGAAGCCTTCACGCAGCCGCCTGGAGACCCTGGCTTGGGGGTTGCCTTGCTCCAACCAAGTGTAGAGGGTGACCCGCTGGCCGCCCATTACGCGGCTGCGGAAACCATCCTGGCAGACACTGGCGTTCCGGTGGAAGTATTGAAGGGTGACCCCGAGGAAAGCCCGCTGGCCCAACTCCTGGGCATGTTGGCCTTGGGAGATTATGTAAGCTACTACCTGGCGATGCTCAAAGGAGTGGATCCTTCACCGTCCCCCAACATTGACAAGGCGAAGGACCTGTTAGCCCAGTAGACGGCGCAGCCACGGTCCAGCGAACCTTCCCGGCCCCGGCAGTCCAGTCAAAGGGCCGGCCACTGGTTAATGCGGGCGGTGCGCCCCGTCGCCGTGTTCTTCGTGGCCGTGTTCCTGATGGCTTTGCCCACCGTCTTCGGCAGATTGCAGGGGCACAACGAGCAGCACCAGGATAGCGGCGGCGAATAACGCGGCTATGTAGTAAAAGGTGAGGTGGGGCGCAATTCCGTACAGGTACCCACCGATTATGGGGGAGGAGGCCGCCATGCCAAACCTGGAGAAAGAGATAACGCCCAGAGTCGTAGCGGCAGGGCCGTCCCTAACCAGATCTAGGGCTGCCGCGGTCAGAATGGGCTGGTCACTGAATACAAAGGTCCCGATCAGTGCAATTAGCACCGGCAGCATGATGCCTTCACCGAAGGGAACCAGCAACAGGGGTCAGCACGGCCAGCCACACCATGCCGGGAATCAACACCGGCTTTCTTCCCACCCGGTCCGACAGGTAGCCCATCACGGGCGTGGAGAAAATCCCAACCAGCACCAGCAGGGACATGTACAGACCCCGGCCACCGGGGCTGAGGCCCGCCTCGTCCGCCAGATACAGGGGCAGGAAGGTCAGAAAGCTGATGAACGCCATGCCCCTGAGCCCGGCCACCAGCACTATGCCCCAAATCCTGGGCTGGCGGAACAGGCTCTTGGTCTGGGCCACCTGCGAGGCCAGGTCCGGCCCGGTACTGGCTTCCAGCTGTCCGCTCCTGCCGATGTCCCGGAATGCCCAGAAAACCACGAAAGCCAGAAAAAGAGGGACGGCGGCGTAAATCTCCAGGATGTGTTGCCAGGTCAATACTCCCAGAAGTATTCCGGTAACCAGCGGAGCGGCGGCATCCCCTATCTGCCCGCCGACTCCGTGGAAGGACAGGGCGGAACCTCTCCGGTGAGAAAAGTGGTGGGAAAGGGCCGCTATTCCGGGCAGGTGCCACAAAGAGGCGGCAACGGCAACAACGCCCATTCCCACCAGCAACACCACGTAGACCGGGGCCAACCCCATCAGCAGCCAGCCGAGGCCGAAAGCCCCCATGCACAAGGCCAGCACTAGCCCCCAGTGCCGCCGCAACAGGTCGGTAACCACGCCCCCCGGCAAAGCCACCACCCCCCGGAGACAATCTCCCGCACGCTGGTGATGCCGCCAACCTGCAATTCGGTCAGCAGGAAAGCGTCCCGCACCTCCGGCAGCATTACCAGGAAGCTCTGAGTGAACCAGTGGAAGACGCCGTGGCCTGAAGTGATGCCGCCGAGAATGAAGGGGCCTGTCCTCCGAATGCCTCCCTGCGGTTGAGTTTCCTCTACGTGGGGATGTGTTTCTGCCATAACCGTCCAATCCGTGCCTGCGGAATCGTCCTGCCGGAATGTTATCATAACCTTCCGTGAAACAAACCACATTGTCGTAACGAGAGCGCATCATGGTTGAAGCAGATGACGCCCGGCGGGCAGACGAACTCACCCGGGAAATCAACAACCACAACCACCGGTATTACGTGCTGGATGACCCGAGCATCAGCGACGGCGAGTATGACGCGTTGATGCAGGAGCTACGCCGTCTGGAAGCGGACAATCCCGCACTGGTTACACCTCAATCCCCAACCCAACGGGTGGGCGGCGCCCCCGCTGCCGGATTCACCCAAGTGCAGCACCGGCAACCCATGTTGAGCCTGGCCAACGCCTTCAACGTCGAGGACCTGGAGGCATGGCTGCGGAGGGTCAAGAACCTTCTGGACGGCGCCGACTTTCCCTTGGTTTGCGAGTTGAAAATCGACGGGCTGGCCGTGAGTCTCACCTACGAAAACGGCATTTTGACCCAAGGCGCCACCCGGGGCGACGGCAGCACCGGCGAAGATGTGACTCAAAACATTCGGACCATCCGGAGTATCCCCGGTGCACTGATGGGAGAGCCTCCGGAACGGTGGAGTCAGGGGAGAAGTCTACCTGCCGGTGGAAGACTTCGAACGCCTCAACGAGGAGCGCGCCAGGCAGGGAGAACCGCTGTACGCCAACCCTCGAAACACCGGCGCCGGCAGTTTGCGCCAGTTGGACCCCAAAATCACCGCCAGCCGCAACCTGCAAATATGGGTCTATTCCATGGGAGAAATCGGGGTGGAAATCGGGGACGAAGCCAGCCAGGCTTCCCCGCCGCCTGATTCCCACTGGGATGCCCTGGAGTGGTTGCAGACCCTGGGCTTCCGCACCAATCCACACAACCGGTTGTGCTCAACCCTGGATGACGTTGTCGCCTACTATCAGTCCTGGTTGTGAGCAACGCCACAGCCTGCCTTATCAGGTAGACGGTGTGGTCATCAAGGTTTCTCCATTCAACTATCAGGAGTCCCTCGGCGTAGTGGGCCGCGAGCCCCGGTGGGCCATCGCCTACAAGTTCCCGGCGGAGCAGGTCACCACCAAGCTGCTGGACATCCGTATCAACGTGGGACGCACCGGCAGCCTGAACCCATATGCAGTTCTGGAGCCTGTGGTGGTCGGTGGGGCAACCGTCAAGCAAGCCTCGTTGCACAACGAAGAAGACATCCACAGAAAGGACATACGAGCAAGGGATTGGGTAATCCTGGAACGGGCCGGAGATGTGATTCCCCACGTGGTGGGGCCGGTCGCTTCCCGCCGCGACGGCAGCGAGCAGGTTTTCCGAATGCCCAAGCTTGCCCGGTCTGCGGGACCACGGTGATAATTAAGCCCGCCGACGAGGCGATGCACCGGTGTCCCAACAGTTCATGCCCGGTCCAATTCTTCGAACTCCTCAAGCACTTCGTCAGCAAGGGCGCCATGGACATCGACGGTCTGGGGGAGCAGTGGTGCCGCATCCTCATCGACCAAGGCCTGGTCACCGACGTGGCCGGCCTCTACTACCTCCAAAAGGAGCAATTGCTCACCTTGAGCGCATGGGCGACAAGCTGGCGACGAAGATCACAGACAATATTGAGGCCAGCAAGGCGCGCCCGCTGCCCAGGCTGCTGTTTGCACTGGGGATACTCCACGTTGGTTCGGAAATCGCCGAGTTGTTGTCCCAACAGGTTCCCCAATCTGGAAGCCCTGGCCCAAGCCAGCGAAGAGGACCTAACGGAAATCGCACGGCATCGGGCCAAAGATCGCCGAGAGCGTAGTCTCCTACTTCAAGGTGGCCGCAAACCGGGATGTCATCGCCAAACTGGCCGCCTCGGGCGTGGACCCAACACAGGAAATCAACGTCCCAGAGACACTCGAAGATTTGCCATGGCGCGGCCTGACTTTCGTGGTATACCGGGACTCTTTCCGCATTCAGCAGGAAGAGCAGAAACCCGCATCAAGGCCCTGGGCGGTGGCGTGACCTCGTCCGTATCCGCCAAAACGAATTACCTGGTGGCTGGAGAGTCGGCCGGCTCCAAGCTAAACGCCGCCATCAAACTCAACACACCGGTCCTTGACGAAGCCGCGTTTTTGGCCCTGTTGGACGACCCGGCGTCCGCCAGAGACGGTTCTTCGTAGCCGGAGGAATCGACATCAACGGTCTGAGTTACTATCCCAGCGAGTCACAGAAACCCCAGGGCCGGTTCGTCTCCCGCATCGTTGGCCACCGGACGCAATCGCCGGGCCACACGAGGGCGGCGTTCAGCCCAGGGACGCCGGTTAGACCATGCTCATAGTCGTTGCCTGGGCAACCCTGGCCCCCGGTACCAATCAACCAGGCACAACGTTGGATTCGGTGCGTGCGACCTGCTGGCACGCGGTGGGGAATCCAGTTGACCGACCGGCGGGAAAAGGCGTGTTGGCCCAGGGATTCCAACGCGGGGAGAAGATCGTACTGGCGAAACCCCGAACGTTCATGAACAACAGCGGCGAAGCCGTGGAGTACTTGCTAGCCCGGTTCGGCGGGTCGCCCAAGGGTTTGCTCGTAATCTATGACGACATGGAGTTGCCTTTGGGGCATCTGAGGTTGCGGGTTTCGGGCAGCGGCGGCAATCATAACGGCATGCGGTCTATAGTCGGGTCGGTCCAGACCCAGGAGATACCGAGGTTGCGAATAGGCATCGGGCCGCATCCAGCCGGCGCCAGGAAACCATTCCACTAGTACTGTCCGGAGCGTTCGAGCCGGGCGAGGAGAAAACCGTGGCCGAATCGTTGGTCAACGCCGCCGACGCCGTTGACTGCATACTGGCGGAATCTATCGATGTTGCAATGAAACGGTCAACAGCGGCCGCGCAGAATGCTGACCGGGACGTGACGCGTCACTGCATCCGGCCCAACAGTGGCCCCGCGTGTTACTGACCCAAGGCGATATTTCCTTGAATCCAATCTTCAGGAAATTCATCTCTCTTCCCATCGCATTTCTGTTGCTAGCGTGCTTGCCGTATCCGCTGCTTCGGCGTGTCGTAATTGGCTGGAACCTGCTGCCTACCCCGTCGGAAAAGGACTCGGCGGCGGCCATCCCGCAGAGACCGAACTGCCTGCCCGCAACTCCACGCCCAGCCCAAAGACCCGCTCTGACCAACCTGTTCCTACGGCAAGATTGCTACCAACGCGGGTCCCGCCGTCAGCCCAGAGCCTCCTCCGAGTTTGCAGCCGTTCCCGGATCCCCCGGAACGCGACCTTTACCGCTTGGCCGCCCAACTGAAACCGGGAATACCAGCCAACCTGCCCCGCGTCGTCAACGAAAAGCCTGTTTCCTATCAGCAGGGCCGCCAGGACACATTCTGGCTGCTGGACCTGGATACCCTGGAATACTACCAGGCCACTTTTGACCTGCGCCTGGTAACACCCCGCGGTTACTGGTACGTGGACCAAGAGCAAGAGGTGCGACAAGAGGACCTGGAGGAAGCCGCCAGAGAGTTCGAGGACCACATCTACCCGGGCGTGACGGCCATTTTCGGCGCGGAATGGTCCCCCGGCGTGGACAACGACCCTCACCTGAACATATTGAACAGCCGGCTGCGCGGGGCCGGCGGCTACTTTAGCTCCTCAGATGAGTATCCCCTGCTGATCTCCCCCTATAGCAACCAAAGGGAGATCATTTATATGAACATCGGCGCTTTTCCTATAGGCACAGAAGCATACCTCGGCGTACTGGCCCACGAGCTTCAGCACGCCGTCCACTGGAACGCCGACGCCTCCGAAGACACGTGGGTGAACGAGGGCCTGTCCGATCTGGCCGTGGCCTTGCTGGGCTACGGGAGCGGCAGTTCCTTAAGGTTCCTTAGTTCTGGACCAACTTCCATGGTGCACTGGCCCATTTCCGGCATCGGAAGCCGCGCCAACTATGGGGCGGCATCCCTGTTCATGCAGTACCTGGTGGAGCACTACGGCAACTCGGAGGACCTGACGCCCTTGGTGGACCAGACCGCGGATGGAATCAATGGCATAAACGCATACCTTAAAGAGCTTGGACACCGGGCAACTTTCCGGCAAGTATTCGAGGACTGGAGCGTGGCAAATTACTGGACCGGTTCCAGCCGGACTCACCGAGGGTCGCCCCTACACCTATTCCAATTTGAACGCCGGGGCCACTCCAACCAGAATCTTGGATTCATCCTCGAGCCTGGAATCAGAGTTGACCCAATTCTCGACCGAATATATCCAAATCCGCGCTGACTCAGGGCCAATTCGGATCGTGTTTCAGGGGCCCACCCACGTCCCCCTGCTGCCCGTAGAGGTTGGCGCCGATGGTTGCTGGTGGAGCAACGTTGGCGACTCCATTGATTCCAGGTTAACCCGGGCCCTTGACCTATCCGACACACCCAGTCCCAGTCTGAGTTACCGGATCTGGTATGAGTTGGAAGACAGGACTGGGACTACGCCTACGTGCTGGTGTCCCTGGACGAAGGCAAAACCTGGGAGATAGTCGAAACCGACTATACATCCCCTTCCAATCCGGTATAGCCCACAGCTTCGTCTCGCGGGCTTACACACCGGAAGAGCGCGGAGAGTGGTTGACCGAAAACCTCGACCTTGGCAAGTACTCCGGGCAACAGATACTGCTCCGGTTCCAGTACATAACCGACGACGCCATCAACGGCTCAGGACTCTGCATAAAGGATTTTGCCGGCAACGGAGCGGAAAACTGGCAGGAAGGCTGGCAACCGGAAGGCTTCGTGTTGGGGAACACACACCGCCCCGCAGCATTCTCGTGCAGGTCATCCATGTCTGTTGACCGCCTATATCCTGGTAACGCGCTACTCAGTGATCTGACTCCCGGAATTCAGGCGCGTTGACAATTGATCGACCCGAGGAATCGGACCGGCTGGTGGTGGCAGTGGGGGCCTTGGCCGCGAAAACCCGGCAACAGGCCAGCTACGAGCTGACAGTGGAGGAATAGAGGCCATAACACCGGGTGGCGGCCATGCAGACACGCCATTCAATGATGCCGCATGTATCTGGGATCGGGTCACCGGATCGCGCGAAACCGGGATAGGCGCGGCGGGGAGTATTGCAAAAAAAACCGACCCATTCCAGTTGCGTTGCAACGAGGTTGGGTCGGTTAGGTGTTCCAGTTGGTGAAAGTTTGTCAGGTTACGAGTAACCCGGATAAGCGGGCTTATTTGCGGAGCAATTTGGAGGGAAGCACCACCCACAGTCCGAAGAGCCCGATAAATACACCTGCTGCAGCGATGACTTCCATGGTTGCCTCCACGAATTACTTACATACTCTATTTTAGACAGTAGTGTTACGGCCATTTTCCAGCAGTTTGTTTCACTTCTCGTTACAAGTCCCGTAATTTAGACCAACCTTGCCGGGAAACTTCTCCACCACCCTCGGGCAAGCCGGTGGTTAACGCCATGGCCAGGTTGGAAAACAAATCAACCCCAAAGCAACGCCCCACTTCTATAGCGATTCGCGACCTTCACAAGGCCTTGGTCGATCCCGTCCCAACAAGGAAATAAAACAAAAAGATCAGACCCTACACCCTTCTGTGCCTCGCTAACTCACCAACCCTGCCTTGAAACGTCGTCCAAAAAACCGACCCATTCCAGTTGCTTTGCAACGAGGATGGGTCGGCTAAGTGTTCCAGTTGGCGCTTTTTAACGTGTTACCCAGTAGCCCAGGGAAGCCAGCTTACTTGCGGAGCAATTTAGAGGGAAGCACCACCCACAGTCCGAAGAGCCCGATAAACACACCTGCCGCTGCAATGACTTCCATGGTTCCCTCCGCAAATAACTTACATCCTCTATTGTAAGCAGCAGTGTTACGGCTGTTTTTCCTGTTTGTTAATTTCTGGTTACAACTTGCCGGAATTTGGTCCGGCCGTTCCATCCTTGCTCGGACAACCCCGGCTGGTTCTCCACTTCAAAGCGACGGCTGGCCGTGCCCGCTTCACGGCTCCATTCCGTTGAGAGATGCCGGGCGGAACCGCTACTGCGGCGATGTCGACTGCTGCGACGCGGTGGATAGGCTACCGTCCCTCCGGTCTGGCGCCGAGACCGAGGCCACAAAAAAACCGCCGGGGGCTTTTGGGGCCCCCGGCGGTCTGAATACCTCAGTCTGCTCTGGGCTATGTACGTTCAGCTGGCCGCCGGACCGTATGCCTCGAGCCCGTGTTCTGCAAGGTCCAACCCTTCCAGCTGCTCCGCATCCGAAGCCCGAATCCCGGCCATGGCTACTTTGAGCACCATGAACAGTACGAATCCGGTGCCAGGACCACCAGCACCACGCATGCTGATCAACTGGCGCACGACATCTGTCGACCGGTGCCCGACTATCAGGCCGTCAACCCCGTTGTTTCCGTTGGCGAATATCCCGACCGCCAGCAGTCCCCAGAGACCGGTGACACGTGGACCGAGACGGCGCTCTCGTCGTCTATCTTCAGCACGTTCTCAATCACCATCACCGAAGCCATCATAATGGGAGCTGAGATTGCGCCAATCACTCACGACGCCGCCACGTCGACGTAGAGCCACCGGGCGGTGATGTCCCACCAGTCGGGCCCAGGCTCGTTACATGCCATCAAGAGCTCCGCTTTTCCGCTGCGCATCGAGTTGTATGTAAAGGCCACCACCGCGCCGGTTGCGCCGGACAGAAGGGTGTTAGCGGCGTTCAGCCCGATGGAGTCTCCCGTGTTGATGTTGAATCCGAACCAACCAAAGAACAGGATGAACTGTCCCGATCCACAACGTAAGGCACACTATACCCGATATCTGGTTTGCACGTCAAGTTCGGCCGTGGAATTTACCCAAAACTAGGGAGACAACCGCGGCGCCGGCCAGCGCCACAAATCCGCCCACGGCGTGAACCACGCCCGAGCCTGCGTAGTCTGATGCCGGCAGCATACCCAGGGCGTTTTCGAACATATCTGGCGCATTTTGTTAAAAATGCTCAAGGCCAACCCCCGCCCCGACCCAGTGGCCATTTAATAAGAGGGTAGATGCCGGCACCGACTATAAGTGTTTAAGGCCAGGTAAGGCCTGGGTCTTGAGCCGCTCGGCCCCACAGCCCGGCCACTATGTGGCCCGCCGGTGGCAGGCGAACACCATCGGCACCAGTCCACAATAAAGCTGCAAGTCAGCACGCAGTGGGCCAAGAAGAATAGGGATCCCACACATTCCCGTCATCGTGTAGGACTTGCCCAGTGCCAGCAATTCCAACTGCCGTGGCGCCAAACATGATGGCGAAACCAAAGGCCCAGAAGACACGACGCCATGGCGAAGTCATGAACTGAAGCCTTGGTTTGTAAATTTGCAGTGTTTTTCGGCCGATTAGGACCCCGACGCCAGAAGGCAAATCCGCTCTGCCATTGGAAGAAGACCAGGAAGGCAGCCATCATCGTGGTCAGGTTCCCAATGGCGGTTAACGCCGTTCACCGGCGTTGTTCTGGGAAACGCCAACGTTGTAGAACACCAAAATTCCAGCAGCAAGCAAACCTGCTAGCCGAAAGGCAAGAGGCGTTTAACGTAAAGCCGCCGGGTTTTTGGACCTGAGAACCTGGGTAGCCAACATAGAGATTCCCTCCTTTCCCATGGGGTTGGCAGCCGGCAGTTTTCCGGGGGCCAGAGTTTGAGACTTAGAGCCTGTCTCGTGAGTAATGTTCCATATTTAGGAGGATTTCACCTATGTTTACATGAGTTGAATTTTGTTACTATCGCAGTACATCTTGCTTGTTGGCGGAATGCACAAGGTAAAAAGGGGCAGACCGTGGCCTGCCCCGGGTGAGAAGGAAGCCCGTGGTTACGGCTTTTCGATGGGCGCTCCGACGATGCTGCCCCATTCCGTCCAAGAGCCATCGTAGTTGCGGACGTTTTGGTGTCCCAACAGCTGGGTCAGGACAAACCAGGTATGGGACGACCGCTCGCCAATGCGGCAGTAGGCGATGGTCTCCTTGCTGCCATCGATGCCCTTGCCTCCATAAAGAGCGGCCAGGTCATCGGCGCTCTTGAACGCGGCGTCCTCTCCCACGGACTGGGCCCAGGGAATGTTGGCCGCCCCGGGGATGTGCCCGCCCCGTTGGGAACCCTCTTGGGGCAGGTTTGCCGGCGACAGCAGTTCCCCGCTGTACTCCGCCGGAGCCCTGACGTCCACCAACGATACATTTCCAGCGCCCACGGCCGACAAAACGTAATCCCGGTAGGCCCGGATGCTTTCGTTGGGTTCCGAGGCGGTATAGGTCGTCTGCGGCGGGTTGACGGCATCGGTGGTGACGGGCCGGTTTTCCGCCATCCACTTAACCCTTCCGCCGTTCATGAGCCGCACGTCACTGTGGCCGTAATACTTCATCTGCCAGAAGGCCCAAGCTGCGAACCAGTTGTTGTTGTCCCCGTAGACGACCACCGTCGTGTTGGCGTCGACTCCCGCCGAGCCCAGCAACTGCTCCATTTCCGCCTTGCTGATCAGGTCCCTCCGAACGTCTGCTGGAGCTGGGACTGCCAGTTCCACCCCACTGCTCCGGCAATGTGGCCTTGGTCGTATGCCGAAGTGTCCACGTCCACTTCAACCAGTCTTACTTGCGGGTCGCTGCCGTGTTCGGCAACCCATTCGGTGCTTACCAGGGACTCTGGGTGGGCGTATTCCGCCATGATCTGCCTCCTGGAAAATTATCTTGATTTACCCTAGAAAGGACTGGCGCCTGATCAAATGCAAAATCCGGAGGCCCGGTTGCCCGATGGGACCTGCAACCTCCACGCAGCGGCGGAGGTTGGCCTGGAGACCCCATCCCAGCGCAACAAGCTTGTCCAATCGGCGTCTTTCGACCCGGTCCGATCCGCCGTTTCATAAGAAAGTTGATCATAAAAGTGGGACAGGTTCCCAAGCAGACCCTCGCCAGGTTAGCCACCGGCTTCCCAAGGGACAAATCTTCCCGGACACAATGTGTCAATTATATGATAATCCCGGCGACAATGGGTTCCGCGGCATACGCGGCCAGGGCACGCGTATTCCCAGGTAACAGGCGATTCTCGCATCCAAGGACGAGAGGGCACAGGATACCCGCTGCGGCCAGAAAGAGCTGGGTGGGGGAGCGGCGGATACCGCAACGCCGGCGCCTTGATGTAATCGGCTTCTTCAAGTCCATCGATTGTTGAGTGCGCTAGCACAGATTCACGACCCCAGGGCAATCGCATTATAAACTGCGGCTGGTGCGCCCTGAATGTCCTCCTTCCCGCGGCTGGGAGAAGTCAAGATGGGAGCACAACCCCACCCCCGTCTTTCTCGCCGCAGCGGGAATCCAGAGCCCTTTATCTCAATAGCCTTGGTTAGGATACGCAGGACGCCGCGCCTCTTAGGCAAGCAGACCGGTCCCATGTGGACCACTCCTGCATTGCCCCACGTACCTGGATGTGGGAACGGGCTCTGGATTCCCGCTGCGGCGGGAATGACGGGTGAGGGTCACCCGAGATTGGCATTGTAAATGCGAAAGACCCTGATTCACGACCCTAATCGTTTTGCAATTTGAACCGGGCTCAATTATTATATGAGGACGATCTCAATTGCGCGCGCCCGGTTTCCGCGGCAAACGGCCAGCGGGGACCTATTAGAGGGTATGAATGGGAAGCAATAGATGGCTACGAAATAGTTTCGTCTACTTGCTGGTGATCATCGGCGTTATAGTCATTTTCTATACTCTGTTGCCGGGCTTTGGACGCAGCAGCGAGCAACCATTAACCACCGTCATTGCCATGGCCAAAAACAATGAGATCCGAGAGATGGTGGTAGACGGGAAAAAGCTTACCGTTTACCCCAGGGTGAGCAACATTACCACCGGCGAGCGGTTCAACAGCCGAATCGGCGCCGACACCGATATCATTGGCCTCCTGGTAGAAAGCGGCGCCGAGGTGGGCCCGCCCAGCGGCTTGGAGGTCGTCTTCAAGGGCTCCAGCGGCTTCAGCAGCCTTTTCGGCCTTTTGATCAACTTCCTACCCGTTATCATCTTCGGCGGCCTGATTCTGTTCATGATGCGGCAAGCTCAGGGCAGCAACAACCAGACCATGAGCTTTGGCCGGAGCCGCGCCCGCATGTTGCCCCTCAACCGCCCCGGAGTGACCTTCGACGATGTGGCCGGCGTGGATGAAGCCAAAGCTGAACTCTACGAAGTCGTGGAGTTCCTCAAATTCCCCGAGCGGTTCATGGCCATCGGGGCCCGTATTCCCAAGGGTGTGCTGCTGGTTGGACAACCCGGAACAGGCAAGACGCTGCTTGCCCGGGCCGTGGCGGGAGAGGCCGGAGTCCCCTTCTTCCACATAAGCGGCAGCGAATTTGTAGAAATGTTTGTCGGAGTCGGCGCGGCCCGGGTGCGGGACTTGTTTGAACAGGCCAAACGCAACGCCCCGTGCATTGTGTTCGTGGATGAGATTGATGCCGTGGGCCGCCACCGGGGCGCGGGCTTAGGCGGGGGCCACGACGAACGGGAGCAGACCCTCAACCAGATCCTGGTGGAAATGGACGGATTCGAGACCAACACCAACATTATAGTTGTGGCCGCCACCAACCGCCCCGACATCTTGGATCCCGCTCTGCTCCGGCCCGGGCGGTTCGACCGCCGGGTTACCCTGGACCTTCCCGACGTAAGGGGGCGCCAGGCAATCCTTAAAGTCCATTCAGCCGGCAAGCCCTTGGCCCCTGAAGTCGCCCTGGATACACTTGCCAAGGAAACCCCCGGCTTCAGCGGCGCCGACCTATCCAACCTGGTCAACGAGGCCGCTATCCTGGCGGCGCGTCAGAACAAGAAAACTATATTCATGTCCGAGTTCGAAGAAGCGGTGGACCGAATCATCGCCGGACCCGAACGCAAGAGCCGGGTGATCAGCCCCCGTGAAAAAGAGATGACGGCCTACCATGAATCCGGCCACGCCCTGGTAGCCTGGATCCTGCCCCATGCGGACCGGGTGCACAAGATCTCCATAGTCTCCCGCGGCAACATGGGCGGGCATACATCCCTGCTGCCCGACGAGGACCGCTACCTGTGGACCAAGAACCAGTTCAGCGACATGCTGGCCGTAACCATGGGCGGACGGGTTGCCGAGGAACAGATATTCGACGAGATGACCACCGGCGCCAGCAACGACATTGAAAGGGCTACCAAGACGGCGCTGAGCATGATCAAACGCTACGGTATGAGCGAGTCCCTGGGGCCCAGGACCTTTGGCAAACGGGAAGAGATGATTTTCCTGGGCCGGGAGATCAGCGAGGAGCGGGACTACGGCGACAAAGTGGCCGAAGAGATTGACGAGGAAGTCAAAGGGTTAATCGACGGAGCCTACCGCCGGGCCCAGGAAATTATTACGGAGCATAAGACCAAGCTGGTTAAACTGGCCGAGCACCTGATCCAGCATGAAACGATGTCCGGCGCCAACTTGGGCCGCCTGTTCAATGACGAAGAATTTGGCGACTCCGGATTCGGTGTCGTAACACCGGAAGCGCCTCCGGAAAGTCCGGCGTACACCGCCGCACCGCACCACCCGGCCCCGCCTCAGCCGGCGCCCAGCCTGCCGTCCTCGCTGGACCCAATGCCCCCGGCGTCGGTGGGTAATGACGACGGCTAGGGGCCATCGCGTCTGTCTCTAGAGGCTTTGGGACACCCTATACGGGAGTTCCAAAGCGCAATGAGAATTCAAGAGAGCGGCCTGCTAAGTGGTTGGCAGGGCGCTCTCTTCGTCCGCAGGCGCATCGATAGGCAACCCCCGGTAAAAGATGCCCCATTGGCTCATCAGGTCCTGCACGCTCCTGTCATTCAATGCCGCCAACTCCCGGAAGAATCCCGCCAACGCATGACCCGGCATGGATTCAGGGTCACAAACCCAGCTGCGTTCTGCCGGGACCACGTAAATCAAGCCGCTCTGATGCTCGCACGTCACCTGAATCCTCGTCATGTCGTCCGACGCGGTGATAGTCATACCATGTTCCGCCATGAATTTTGTCCTCCACTCAGAATCCATTCCAACAGAATTTATTCAAAAAGAATTCAACCTGCACGGCCGTTACACCAAGCCGATTGGCCAGGCGGAATGGGCATTCAATACCCGCCGCTCGACGCCGCATTGCGCCCCGAGAATCCGGCGGCAGGGTTTTGCGACAGCTTTCGGAAGCCGCCCGGCCGATGCCCCGATGTCTATTACCTGGGGAAGATGCTACAATCTATGAGCCCGGCGGATAGCGGCTTGTAAAACAACGCCGTAGCGGGAAAGAGTGTAATACTACCGAGGGAAATATTCTATGTACCCACCTGGCGGTCCTAGGCAACCTGAGATAGACATAGACCAAATCTTATCCGGCTTCCGCACCAACGCCGGCCGCGTCATGCAGCGGCTGGGCGGCGGTGGAGTCGGCTTGGCGGTAGTCGGGTTTATCGGTGTCATCGTGGTCATTTGGGCGGCCACCGGCTTTTACCAGATAGCTCCCGGAGAAGAGGCCGCCCTCCGCTTCTTCGGCTCGGTCCAGGAACCACCGGTTACGGATACCGGACTCCACTGGTGGTGGCCTGCGCCCGTTGGGAACACCAATAAGTTCGAGGTCAACCAGGTCCGGCGGATGGAACTGGGGTTTATCGGCGCAGAAGGAGTTGGCGACGCCAGCGTCCCGGTGGAAGCCCTGATGATCAGCGGCGACCTGAACATTATCGATGTCCGAATGGTGGTCCAATATGACATCCAGAACCTGTCGGATTTCCTGTTCCGGGTCAACGACCCCGGAGAGGCGGGGCGCGGTATCCCTTCCGGGCAACCGGATGGCCGTACGCTGAAAGACGCCGCCGAAGCCGCCCTGAGGCTGGTTGTCGGACAAAGAGGTCTGGGCGACGTCTTGGCCGATGAAAGGGTTGAGGTGGAAGTAGCCACCCGGGGCAGGCTGCAAGCCATTCTGGATGAATATAACACCGGGATTAACGTTGTCAGCGTGGAGTTGCAAGACGTGCAGGCCCCAGAGGAGGTCCGCGACGCTTTCTTCGACGTGCTTCAGGCCAGACAGGACAAAGAAACAGCAATCAACCAGGCTCAAGCCTACGAAAACCAGGTGATACCCGAGGCCCGTGGACAGGCGCAACAAATCATCCAGCCCGCCGAGGCTTTCAAACAGGCCCGAATCGCCAGGGCAGAGGGTGAAGCCTTACGGTTTACTTCGATCCTTGACCAGTACCGCCAATCAAAGGACGTTACCCGACGCCGCCTCTACCCTTGAGGCCATGGAAGATATCCTTCCGAGCGTAAACAAAATAATCATTTCCCCGGAAGCGGAATCAGTCGTGATTCTTGGCGCCGGCCAGGACGGCGCGCTGGTGCCGGTCCCGGTAGGGCCCCAATCCCTAACAGCCTTTTAGTCCTATAAGGTGAGCTAATGAGAGTCGCCATCCCGGTTGGAGTCCTTTTTGTTCTGCTTCTTATCTTTCTCTGGCCCGGCCACGGCCAGTTGAAGGCTCTCTACGTGGTCGATGTCACGGAGCAAGTGATAGTCACGCGGTTCGGTGAAGTCCGCTCGATCAACACAAGCTCGGGACTGTACGCCAAGGTCCCGTTTTTGGATAACGTCGCTTCCTATGATCGCAGGGTCCTGCGGATCGACGCTCCACCCCAACGTATGCTGGACAAGGAAATCAACCCGCTGGAAATCGATGCCTACTCTCGTTACCGGATCACCGATCCGTTGCAGTACCGAAAAACACTGCAAAACCCGGCCAACGCCGAACGCATATTGGGTCAACGTATCAATGCTGCGTTGCGGGCCGTGGTCGCCGACCGCAGCCGGGAGGAAATTATAGGGGGGGATTTCGAGGAGGACGACGAGGGCAACCCAATCACCGACGTCGAGGGCAACACCCAGGTGTTTGCCACGGAAACCCGGACCGAAATGTTGGAGGAAGTGCTGGCAGCCATCCGTCCTCGCACTTGCAGAGGAGGCCGAGCCCTTCGGAATCGAGATGCTGGACGTGCGTATCAAGAGGGCGGACTTCCCAACGGAAGTGTCCGGCCGATTTCGAGCGCATGCGGTCTGAGCGGGAAAAAATCGCCCGCCGTCTCCGAGCCGAGGGCGAAGAGGAAGCCCGAACCGCCGCGCTAGCGCCTGACCGGGACGTGGAAATCATCCTGGCGGGCGCTGACCGTGACTCCAACCGCCTCCGTGGTGAAGGCGAAGCAGAGGCGATTTCCATCCTGGCCGATGCCCTGAACGCCGACCCCGAATTCTTCGCCTTCCAGAGAAGCTGAGGCTCTACCGGGCCTTCATGAGCCAGAACAGCACGGTAATTCTGTCTTCGACGCCGAAATCTTCCAGTTCCTGCAGAGTCCCGGAGACTCTGTTGGCGCTGGTAACTAGCTGCTCTGATAGACTTTGTCCAGCCGGGCCGTTCCTCCGGTCACCCACTACACGGACCGGGCGAACGGCTGCGCTAGAACCCATCTGATCGCTTAATGAAAATCCACGAATACCAGGCTAAAGAGCTGTTTGCCCGGTACGGCATCCCGGTTTCCCAGCGGCAAGCGGCGGCAGACCCCGACCAAGCCGCCCACGCTGCCTCCAACTTGGGGTAGGGCCGTCATCAAAGCCCAGGTCCACGCCGGTGGCCGGGGCCGCGCCGGCGGGATCCAGGTGGTCAACTCACCGCAGGAAGCCCAGGCCTACGCAACCCAACTGCTGGCCGCAACCTGGTTACCGCCCAGACCGGCCCCAACGGCGCGCCGGTCCACCAGATCCTGGTAGAGGAACCGGCGGCAATTGCCCGGGAGATCTATCTGGCAATAACCATCGACCGGGTCCACCGCCGACCGGTGATGATCGCCAGCGCCTCCGGTGGCGTGGACATCGAGGAAACGGCCGCTTCCAATCCCGAGGCCATAGCAACGGAGGCGATTGACCCGGTCCTGGGGTTGATGCCGTTCCAGATTCGAAGGCTGACCGCAAGGCTCGAGTTGGACTCAGCGTTAGCCCGTTCAGCTGCCCAGGTCATGACCTCCATGTACCGCTTTTTCGTGGAAGCCGACTGCTCTTTGGTGGAGATCAATCCCCTGGTCGTCACTTCCGACGGCAACCTTCTGGCCTTGGATGCCAAGGTCAACCTGGAAGACGACGCTCTGTTCCGGCACTCGGACTTGAAAGACCTGGCAGATCCCTCCCAGGAAAACGAACTGGAGAACCGGGCCTCGGACATGGACGTTGCCTACGTGAAACTGGACGGCAACGTTGGTTGTTTGGTCAACGGCGCCGGACTGGCCATGGCCACTATGGACGTCATAGCAGCCCGGGGAACCACAGCGGCCAATTTTCTGGACGTGGGCGGCGGCGCCAGCGTGGAAAAGGTCGCTGATGCGGTGAAAATCATTTTGGACGATAGTGACGTCGACCGGGTCTTGGTAAACATTTTCGGGGGCATATTGCGGTGCGACATTGCCGCTGAGGGAATCGTCAAAGCCTACAAGGAAAAAGGCTCACGCCTGCCAATGGTAGTCCGGATGCTGGGCACAAACGTGGATCAAGGCAAGTCCACCTTGCGGGATTCAGGCCTGCCGGTGACCCCTGGTTGACACTCTGACCGAGGCCGCCGACGCCATTGCGCAAATCGGACCGTAACCGCCGTCCCTAGGTCCGGCGGGCGCACCCCAATTCCTGAGAACTGCGGAGACGACGCCGGCATGGGCATTCTGGTAGATGAACAGACCCGGGTGGTGGTGCAGGGCATTACTGGACGGGAGGGGCGATTCCACACCCAGGCCTGTATGGCCTACGGCGCTAACGTGGTCGCAGGCGTCACCCCCGGCCGGGGAGGCCAGACGGTCGAAGAGACCGTCCCTGTTTTCGACACTATGGAACAGGCCGTGGCAGAAACCGGCGCCAATGTTTCCTTGATTTTCGTGCCTGCGCCGTCCGCGATGGACGCGGTCGTGGAAGCGGCCGAGGCAGGGATTCCCCTGGTGGTCTGTATTTCCGAAGGTGTCCCCGTGTTGGACACTATCAGGGTGGCTGAATACCTGAAAACCAGCTCAACCCGCCTGATCGGCCCCAATTGCCCCGGACTGATCAACCCCGGAGCATCCTGCAAGGTTGGCATTATGCCCGGCAATATTCATTTGCCCGGGCGGACCGGAGTGCTCTCCCGCAGCGGCACGTTGACCTATGAAGCCGTGTCCCAGTTGACTAATCTCGGCCTCGGCCAATCCGGCTGCGTGGGGAATCGGGGGCGACCCGGTGATAGGGACCAACTTTGTAGACGTGCTGCGATTGTTCGATGATGACCCTGACACGGACCAGGTCGTGCTCATCGGCGAGATTGGGGGCTCCATGGAGCAAGAGGCCGCCGAATACATCAAGGCCGAATTCACCAAGCCCGTGTGCGCCCTCGTCGTTGGGGCCACCGCTCCGCCCGGCAAGCGCATGGGCCACGCCGGGGCCATGATAACCGGCGAAAGCGCCACAGTTGAGGCTAAAGTCAACGCGCTGCGGGACGCGGGAGCGGTCATCATCCCAACTCCCGCCGACATTGGCGTCACCGCTCAATCCTTGATGGCGGCCACTATCTGACGGACTAGGCCACATCCCAGCGCATCTCATTCTCGGGCAACTCGTAAGGGAAGTTAAGACGCCATACGCCGTGATCAGAAAGTCCCCGCCGGGCTGTTAGCTGATATACTTGAATCCGCATCGAGGAAAGTCCACGGCCTCAATAACACTCAGGTCCAGATGGAATACGAAACAGTAATCGGGCTGGAAGTACACGTACAACTCCAGACCCAAAGCAAAATGTTCTGTTCGTGCCGCGCCGACTACCAGACCGCGCCGGCCAACCAAAGGGTCTGCCCCGTGTGCCTCGGGCTCCCGGCACCTGCCGGTGGTCAACCGGAAGGCGGTCGAATACACCATCATGACCGGCCTGGCACTGGGTTGCCGCATTCCGGAATACACGAAGTTCGACCGGAAGAACTACCCCTACCCGGACCTGATGAAAGGCTACCAGATTTCCCAGTACGACCTTCCCCTGGCGCTGGACGGACACCTGGAATTCGAGACCGGCGGCCAAGCCTACAACGTCGGCATCGAACGGGTGCACCTGGAAGAGGACGTGGCCAAGTTGCATCACCACCCATCGGCGGACGGCCAGGGCTACAGCTTGGTGGACGTAAACCGGTCCGGCGTCCCGCTGATGGAAGTGGTCAGCAAGCCGGACATGCGCTCGGCGGAAGAAGCCAGGGAGTACCTGACCACCCTGCACTCCATTCTCCAGTACCTCGATGTGTCAACTGCCAACCTCCAGGACGGAAGCTTCCGCTGCGACGCCAACATAAGCCTGCGCCCCAAGGGCCGCGAACGGCTGGGGTCCAAGGCCGAAGTCAAGAACATGAACAGCTTCCGCTCGGTCTTTTTGGCGCTGAAATACGAGAGAAGAACGCCAGCGCAAAATATTGGACCGGGGGAGAAAGGGTGGCCCAGGAGACCCGCGGGTGGGTGGAAGAACGCAACGCAACGGTTTCGCAGAGGAGCAAAGAGCAAGCCCACGATTACCGGTACTTCCCCGAACCGGACCTTCCTCCCTTGACCATCGACCGGGAATGGGTAGAGGAAATCCAGGGAAGGCTGCCCGAGCTTGCCACCCAACGGCGCGCCCGTTTTGTGGAGCAATATCGCATTCCCGAAAAAGACGCCGGTCTACTCACTAACTCCAAGGACATGGCCGACTTCTACGAATCCGCGGTGGCGGCCGGTCTCAGGCGGAACGGCGACGATGAAGGCTTGGCCAAAAGCGTCAGCAACTGGGTGTTTGGAGACCTCAGCCGGTTGTTGAACCTGGAAAACACCGGCATTGGGGAATCCAAAGTCACTCCGGATTACCTGGCGGAACTCGTTGATCTGGTTGACCGAGGGGAAATCAATACCAACACCGCCAAAGACGTGCTGGAGCAGGTATTCCAGGATGGCAAATCGCCTGCCGAGGTAGTCGCAGAGAAAGGATACTCCCAAATCGACGATTCCTCAGTGGTGGAAGAGGCGGTGGCTGCGGCCATAGAAGCCAATCCCAAGGCTCTTGAGGACTACCGCAGCGGCAAGAGCGCCGCGGCCAAATTCCTGGTAGGCCAGGTGATGAAGAACACCAAAGGTCAGGCTAAGCCCGACCTGGTAAATCAGCTAGTTGAAGCGAGCCTCAAGGCGGCGAGTTAAGGCGGACTAAATGTTGCCCAATCTTCTGAACATCGTTCAGGTCCTGGTATCCCTGCTCATCGTTATTGTGATTTTGAGCCAGGTCAAAGAAGGCGGCGGCGGCCTGTTTGGCGGCGGCCAGTCAACGGTCAGGACCCGCCGCGGCCTGGAAAAGACATTTTTCCAGTTCACAATTCTCCTGGGTGGGCTGGTTCCTCCTCATATCCATCTTCAGCGTCCGGCTGGCATAGAACCTTACCTGGCAGCAGCCAACCCCCGACCCATCAAGTACTCTTGTCCCATCGCGGATTCGCTTGACTCCCAATCCTCTTGCCGCTGAGCCAATACCGGATTTTGTTGGCCTTCCGGGCCGCTTGAGTCGGGATGACTCGAGAAGGTTCCCCATTGAATCCAGACCGTGACAACCCGGGATCATACTGACCACGGACTTCGGGGTAGGCGACCCCTACGTGGGCGTTATGAAGGGCGTGATCTTCGGGTTGAACCCTCTTGTCACCGTCATCGACCTGACCCATGGGATATCGCCTCAAAACGTTCGTCAAGGGGCATTCATCCTCGGAGTCAACCACCGGTACTTCCCCGAAAACGCGATCCACGTGGCAGTGGTCGACCCTGGAGTAGGAACCGAACGGCTTGCCATCCTGGTGCAGACGCCCCGGGGCCCGTTCCTGGCGCCGGACAACCGAATCTGAGCAACGTCGTGTGGAATGCCGCGGATGATGCCTCCACCCTCGACGGCCCCACCCCGCTGCCTACCGACTGCACCGCCTACCGGCTTACCGAGCCTAGATTTTGGCTGAGTCCGGTGAGCGCCACCTTCCACGGCCGAGATGTCTTTGCCCCGGCGGCTGCCCACCTCTCATTGGGTGTTTCACCGCACGAGATGGGGCGTCCCGTTTCCCACATATTCCGGTTGGCGGCGGCCCAGCCTTCAGGAAAATTGCCGGGAACGGTGCTCGGCGAGGTGATCTACCAGGACAGCTTCGGCAACCTGGTGACCAACATCGACGCCGCCAGGTTGACCCCATCCGCCAACCCAACTGTGCAAATCAAAACGCGTCGAATCCGCGGCTTGAGCCGGACCTTCCACGACGGTAGCATCCAACCCGAGGACGGTTTGATTGCCCTGTTCGGAAGCCACGGCTACCTGGAGATTGCCGTCAGGGACGCCAGCGCCGCCCGCCTGCTGCAAGCCGGCGCCGGCGAGCCCGTGAAGGTCACCGGTTCCTGACAGAAACGTCCCACGGGCGGGTTTGCCATGCTCTGCCGACTCTATTGACATGGGTTAGGGCCATGCTACCATGAGGCTAACCCCTCCCCACTGGCGTCTTGGGAGATTCTTTGGAATTCCTGCAGGAACGAATTTTGGCATCTCAGTGGAGTCGTTATGGACCTCGACCGGGAGACACTGCTTAAGCTCTACACCACCATGTCGCGCATTCGAAACTTCGAAGAGCGGGGCATCCCCGAAACCGGCCAGCGCCGAATGTCGGCATCGGTGCACTCCTCGGCGGGCCAGGAGGCAGTCCCCACCGGCGTGTGCGCCCACCTGACCAACGAAGATTACATCGGCAGCACCCACCGCGGTCACGGGCACTGCATCGCCAAGGGAGTGGACCCCAAGCTCATGATGGCCGAGCTTTTCGGACGGTCCACCGGGCCCAACAAGGGTCAAGGCGGGGCGATGCACATCGCCGACATGAGCAAGGGAATGCTGGGCCAAACAACGAAAGGGAAGAAGCAGACGGATGCGTGGCGAAAGGAAGCCAGCTCGTGCACGCTCCCCAGAGCTTTGCTTTTCTATCGCTGCTCCACCCTTTGCGTAGAGCGCTCTGACCTCCAAGCTGAAGAAGCTCGGCCGGGTCGCCGTGGCATTTCTCGGCGACGGCGGAGCCAATCAAGGAGTGCTTCACGAGTCCATGAACCTGGCTTCGGTTTGGAAGCTGCCGGTGATTTTCTGTTGCGAGAACAACGGTTACGCCGAGTCCACGCCGGTGGAATACGGCCTTTCCATCACCAACGTCTCCGACCGTGCCGCGGGATACAACATGCCCGGGATCCACGTCGACGGCATGGACGTTTTCGCGGTCTACGATGCCGCAGGCCAGGCGGTGGCCCGCGCCCGCGCCGGCGATGGCCCTTCCCTGTTGGAGTGCCGGACCTACCGTTACTACGGCCACACGGTGTTCGACAACCCCAGGACTTACCGCACCGAGGAAGAAGAGGCCCACTGGCGAGCCCGCGACCCACTCAAACAATTTCGAGAGGCGGTCGTCCCCCAGGGAGACATCACTGCCGAGGAACTGGACCAGATCGACAAGGATTCGGAAAACTTGATGGAAGAGGCCATCAAGTTTGCCGACGAGAGCCCCATGCCAGAACCCCTGGAAATCTACGACGACGTTTATGTCAACTACCCAATGGAGTTGCTAAAACGCGGCGCCAACATGGAGATTTAACCGGCTGGCGGACCCGTCAAGACGGTCAACACGTGCCGGGAACTCGCGGCCCGATGACCGGAGTCGCAGCCACAACGTCAACACGACAGCAAACAACAAACGGGGAGACGACCATGACCACAGCCACCGGTGTCAGGGAAATCCAATACCGGGAAGCCATTAATGAGGCAATACGCCAGGAGATGGAGCGTGACGAGTCGGTAATTATCATGGGTGAGGAAATCGCCGGCGGGGCTGGCCGCGAACACCTTTGGGATTGTTGACGCCTGGGGCGGCCCTTTCCGCACGACCGTGGGACTGATTCAGCAATTCGGCAACCAGAGGGTGCTGGACACCCCACTTTCGGAAGCCGCCTTTGTGGGCGCCGCCATCGGCGCCTCTTCTACCGGAATGCGAGCCATCGCTGAGCTTATGTTTGTAGACTTCGTGGGCGTGTGCATGGACCAACTCCTGAACAACGCCGCAAAAATGCGCTACATGTTCGGCGGCCAGGTCACAGTGCCCTTCACACTCTTGACCCGTATCGGCGCCGGCTTCGGCAGCGCCGCCCAACACTCGGAGTCGTACTACTCCATTTTCAGCCACATCCCGGGTTTGAAAGGGGTTGCTCCTTCCGATCCTTACACCGCCAAAGGGCTGCTGATCTCCGCCATTCGGGACGACGATCCGGTGGTGTATTTCGAACACAAGGGGTTGTACGGAAATACCGGGCAGGTGCCTGAGGAGCCCTACGAAATCCCCCTGGGCAAAGCCCGAACCGTTCGGGAAGGGGCTGACATCACTCTGGTGGGTATATCCAGAATGACCTGGGTCTGCACCGCGGCCGCCGAAGAACTCGCGAAAAGCGGCGTCGAAGCCGAGGTTGTCGACCTGTTGAGCATCTCCCCCATAGACTATGACCACATTATCGAATCGGTCAAAAAAACCCACCGCCTGGTGGTGGTGGACGAAGACACTCCCATTTTGCAGCCTGGCATCGGAAATTTGCGCCCGGGTGGCCGAGGAAGCCTTTGACTACCTGGACGCGCCGCCGTCCCGGGTCACCGCCCCGCACACTCCAGTCCCTTACAGCCGCCCCCTGGAAAACGTCTACGTTCCCAACGAAGCAAGGGTAATCAAGACCGTCCAGACTTTGATGGCCAGAGGGTAGCGGAGCCTAGTGAAACAACAGGCCGCCGTTAACGTTGTAGGCCTGGCCTACCGGCCATGTGCCTCAATTTGGGGAAATGGGATAATGGTCGGAAATGCCTGTTGCTCTAAGAGAAGGACCCTACCGTTTTTTCTTCTACTCAAGTGACCGCGAAGAACCCCGGCACGTTCATGTAGCGCGCGACAATCAAGCGGCCAAATTCTGATTGGAACCGGTGAGAATAGAGAGGAGCGGTGGCCTAAGGCGGTCCGAAATTCGGCAGGTACAGCGTATAATCGAAGAGAACCAAGGTACGTTGCTGGAGGCTTGGGATAATTACTTCAACGATTGAAGCGCGGATACCGGACGCAGAAGACGTAGCGGTGACTGAGGACACCCTTCAGGTTGAGCTGTCTGACGGGCGCACGATATCCGTGCCTCTGGCCTGGTATCCCAGGCTTTGTCCAGGCTGACAAAGAGGAAAGCGACCGCTGGGAGCTGATCGGTGAAGGTCAGGGAATCCACTGGCCCGACTTGGATGAAGACATCAGCGTTGAGGGGTTGATTGCCGGCCGCCAGTCGGGTGAGAGCCAACGGTCATTCAAGCGGTGGCTTGAAGCCAGGGCTAACCGCACCTAGTGAAACAACAGGCCGCCGTTAACGTTGTAGGCCTGGCCTGTAATGAACGACGCATCTTCGGAAGCGAAGAACGCAACCATGTTGGCAACGTCTTCCGCCTCGGCGATTCGCCCCAACGGAGTTCGCTCTGCGGCGTCCCGGACAATTCCGCTGCGTAGCTCTTCCAACGGCACCCCTCGCTCTGCAGCCCGGTCTCGCTCCCAATAGCTCATCCGGTCCGTGTTGATGGGTCCGGGGCACACCGCGTTCACAGTGATATTGTAGGGAGCCAGGTCCAGAGCCGAGGCTTGGGTCAACCCCAGCACCGCGAACTTGGATGCGGAATAAGCCGCTCCCATTGCGCTGGCCTGTTTCGCCGCGTTGGATGCAATGTTGACAATGCGGCCGCCATCGCCCCGTTCCACCATCTCTCGACCCACCAGCTTGGTGCAGAGGAACACCGCCGTAGTGTTGATTGCCAGAAAGTGATCCCACACGACCTTCGATAACTCGGTTACGGGCGTCTTGTCCCGACCGATAACCGCCCGGGCGTTGTTCACCAGTATATCGATGCGGCCGAAGTGGTCTTTCACCTCATCAACCAGCCGTGCGATCTGCTGGTCTTCACCAAGATCGCAATAGACCGGAAAGCAGCGGCGTCCCAGGGCTTCAATTTCCTCGGCGACACTATGGATGCCGCGCCACTCTACCCGCACCTCTCCCGGAGGAAGGTCGGTGGCATCCCGTTGAACGTCGGTGATTGCTATGTCCGCCCCTTGAGAGGCCAGCTTTAGAGCGGAAGCGCGCCCCACTCCCCGCATTCCGCCCGCCCCGGTAATCAGTGCGGTTTTACCTTCAAGTCCCGGCATAGACCACCTCTCATGCAACTATGGCTTACGTGGTAGGATCAAAGCAGACCAAGCCTTCGGCTCCAGCGGCTCGGAGCAGGGCCCTGTCAGAGCAGGCAAAAACTGGCGTCAACCAAGCACCTGCCCTCAGCACAAGGCATCCGGCGAGCTGCAGTGCATCGTTAGCTCGCAGTGGATGGTATTGGACCAGCAACGCAGCGAGGTCTATCACCGGGTCACTCACTGCCTGTCTGACAAACATAGTTTCTAAATGGCGGCTAAACTCGTGCAATATTCGATCGGTGTTGCGGCTATCCAAGTCCCCCTGCCGCTCTCGGCGCCGGACAGCGGAATGTAGCTCCGTCTTGGTCGCCGCCAGGATAGCGAATTGATTACGCTGGTTAGCCACGGTCAACTCGATCATCGTGTCTGTACCAGGTTCGTCTACGTACAACTTGACCAATGCGCTAGTATCCAGGTAGTAAACCGCCAAGTTCAGCGCCTATCGCGCAACACCGTCTCGGATAACGGCTCTCCTCTGATGCTCACAGGTTGAAATTGGAATTCGGAATTGTCTGCCGTCCTCCCGGCCCTTGCCCGATCATCAAAGAATGGGAGTCCGGTTTGCCCAGCCGGCGCGCCGGCTACGTGCTCGGCCAGCAGCAATAGGGCCTGGTTTACCAGCTCGGAATCCGGGAATTTTTCCAGACCGGGGCCAAACGCCTTAATGAATTCGGGATCTCGAAAACCCGTCACCGATGGCGTTCCGCTAACATCTGACATTATTGGTTCCAAGCGAGACCGGAGTCTTTCAATGAGAGTGGCCCGTGCCAAGTGTAGAATCGCAGCGTCGCACTTCACTGGTTTCATCGTGTGTCTCCATGTTGCTAGTAACTTGGTCACCAGGTCACCATACCAATAATACTGAGTCTAGGCAACCCTCTGTTTCCCTTTGGACTATTTCAAATGGAAACCCTACGCGTGCCCCTCACGGTTCCACTTTTCTATTTCTATGAAGGCCCGGGCCATCTTCTGACGGGATGCCTCGGCGGACTCCGGCGTCCAATCGAAGAAACCCTGACCCGACTTGGCTCCAATCCTCCCCTGGTCAACCATTTCCTTGACCAGCGTCAAAATGTCCGAGGGGGAGGAGTCTATGTCCGGCAGCACCTGGGGGAAGGCCGCCAGGGCCAGGTCCCAGCCGGCCGCTATTTCCACCATCTCGAAGACCCCGGCCACCACCCAGCGGCGGGCATGGCCCGTCTTCAACACGGTGTCGATATCCTCCGGGCTGGCAATGCCCCGCTGCACCATGGAAAGCGCCTCCCGCAGCAGGGCGGCCAGCAGGCGGTTGGCGATGAAGCCGGGCACTTCTTTTTGCGCCAGCACCGGGCTCTTGCCCACCTTCAAGAGGATCTGGTAGACAGCTTCCACCGTCTCGTCGGAGGTGAGGTCGTTGCGCACTATTTCTACCAGGGGAGACAGGTATGACGGCCCGTTGTAGTGGGCTACCAGCACGCGGTCGGGCCGCTGGGTCGGCTCTGCCAGTAAGCTGGGAATAATGGTGGACGTGCTGCTGGCAAGGATGGTGCGCCCTGGGCAGAAGCGGTCCAGGTCGCCGAAAACCTGCTGTTTCAGGGCAATGTTCTCGTAAACCGCCTCGAAAACGACGTCAACATCCTGTGCTGCCTCTTCCAGCGAAAGGGTGGTGGAAATCCTGGCCGGAGCCGCCGCCGCCAGGTCCGGGCTTACGAACCCCAGGTTCACCAGCCGGTCCAAATCGGCCTGCACAGCGGTCATACCCTTTTCAAGGCTCGCCTCCGTTGTGGAATTCAGCCGCACCTGATACCCGGCCAGCGCCAGCCCGACGGCAATCCCGTGTCCAATCTCCCCGGCCCCAATGACGGCCGTAGTCTTAATATCGTCAACGTTCACGATTGCTCCTTGGCCTCAATTGCGTTGGAATTCTAACCCAAGGCCCTATCGACCACAATCGGGGCGGCCGGCCCGAGAAACTTCCCGGCACTTGGGCCCGCCCCTTGTGGTAGTATGGTTCCGTTGGGCCTCGGTTACCAAATCCCGCGTTTTCCTCCTGACGGCCCGGCACCGGTGACCGGCTTTGGCAGCCGAGAGAAACGCCAATTTTCACGGGAGGATACTGAAATGACAACCGTAGGAACCGGCAAGTTCACCTACACGCTGATTCAAGACTGGGCCAAGCTCCCTCCGGGTCAGGAATTCGGCACCGTCAGCGCTATCGCCACCGACTCCCAGGACCGAGTGTACGCCTTCCAAAGAGCCGAGCCACCGGTGGTGATTTTTGATCGCGACGGCAACTATCTGAGTTCCTGGGGCAACGGGAACTTTGTGAGTCCCCACGGCCTGTTCATTAAAGACGACATCGTGTACGTCACCGACCGGGAGGGTTCCACCGCTATGCGGTACACCTTGGACGGCAAGCCGCTGCAGATTATCGGCGAACACGGCGTGTACTCGGACACCGGATGCGAGGAGATTGGAGCCGTATGCCCTCGTTCCGCCGGCCCGTTCAACTTCATCACCGAGATGGTGCCGCACCCTTCGGGGGACCTTACATTTCCGACGGCTACCGCAACGCCCGGGTCCACCGCTTCAGCAAGGACGGGACCCTGGTGTCTTCCTGGGGTGAGCCAGGCAAAGGCGGCCCCAACGAGTTTCACCTGCCCCACAGCCTGATTGTTGGCCAGGATGGGCGAATTTACCTGTGCGACCGGGAAAACAGCCGCATCCAGATTTTCTCCGCCGATGGAGAATACATCACAATGTGGACCGACATGCAGCGCCCCTTGGATATTTCCCAAGACACCGAAGGCAATTTCGTCATCAGCGAGCGCGTAGGTATCGACGGTGGGCCGGCCCAGATGAGTGTGTTGGATGGCGAGGGCAATGTTTTGGCCCGCTGGCATTCCCGTTCAGCTCACGGCTCCTGGGTTGATGCCCACGGCGACATT